TATAAATATGAATCTGGTTGGTGGTTTCAACCCCTCTAAAAAATATGAGTTCGTCAGTTGGGATGATGACATGACCCCAATATATGGAAAAATAAAAGCCATGTTCCAAACCACCAAGCAGCGAATAAATGGTGCACATCCAATACCCAACCAGCAAATTCTGTCCCCAAACATCTGTTGTACTTGGATGTGCATCCCAGGCATCGATGATCTGATCATCTGAAACCCAGCTAGATCTTTGGGATATACCCCAGTTGTGGCTTATACCAAAAAAACTGCAAGAAAATGGGTCTCACAGCCCCAAGCCCCTAAGCCCCATCTAACTTCGCCAAGGATTCCGAGACCCCTGAATCCAGGCTCTGGTAAAAATATCAGCATTTCGCTATGGAAAATCAGCATGTCTAAATGACCATTATGAATTTTATGAACCAATAAATCATCGAACTATGGGCCATGGCTTCGTTGGCAAACTCAATCTGTGGCCTCGTTGGGATCTTCAAAGACGGTCTCAACCACCTCAGAAAGCCCACGACACACAGCTGGGGCCCCTCCTGGTTTCTGATGAAATTCAGGTGGTTTATAACATTTCATAACCCCGTCTAACTAATGATATATAAACCATAGATCCTATATCTGGCTATAAACCAACTTGGCTATATATTAATATCATCATATATTATCTGGGGACCCCTTCCAGGGGTTGTCACCAAGGAGTTGCAGATGAAAACCAGCAACTTCAATGCGGAAAATAATGGGTCAAATCAGGCCACTCAGAAAAATCAGAAACAAACTGTTGTGGAAAATCATTAGAGAGCCATTTCTACTGTATGATTTTTAATGTTTTGGGGCTGAGAAGCAGGACATAGCAGGACCACCAGCCCATGCCAACGGTTTTGGGACCTTCATCTAGAACAATGATGACCTAGCTTGAGCCAAATTCAAATTAACTTGGATAGTTTGAATCAAACAAGAACACAACGACATGATAAGTCGCTATGCTGCTTAAAAGGGAATCCATTGAACACCCTGGTTTCTCGATCAAGATAAGCATCATCGGTTACTGCAAAATGTCGGTACAACTATACAATCATCAGCATGTCAAATGTCTTTCTGAGGGGTTTACTATAATCATTCCATTACTTTGGGGGTGCAGTTCCAGTTATAAAATGATATATAACCATAGTAAGTTGTAAGGCTTAGAATTTATGGGGCATTCATAACCATGGTTATACCATATTATACCCATTGATATCCTCAAGTGCACCCCCAAAAAGTTAAACCAACTTTGGAAATTTGCACCTTCGTTTTTGACCTCAATCGCCATGCGATGGACCACGGTCCCGCCAACGTGACAAGGCTGCGGCATGTTCGAACGTTGTCTCCTCGCCAGCCGTGACAGCCCATGTCAACCCAAATCTGATATAATCTAGTCTAGTTATGTTTTTTCAGGTGGTTTACCCATGTTTCCCATGAAAACTTTCTCCATCTCCCATTTTTCTCAATGCACCAGTTATTCTTGGAGTTCTTGGAGCGCCAGCCCGGCTGCCCCATGGCCCATGGTTTACAACTTATTTAGGGATCATGTCCCCAATAGGATTTTCAACCTGCCATGGTATTTTTGGGGAATCCCATTTTGGAAAACACCACCATCATCCAATATACATCCCATTCTGTCCCCGATGGTATCCCTAAGTGCTTAAGGTTTTATACCATGTTTGTCTCTGAAGTCCACCATTTCCGGACACTGAAAAAAACATCTGGGCTCCAATTCTGGTAGGTCACAAATCATGTCGTCTACCGTGTAAATGCTGTAAATGCCCTTGCTAAAACCGTTGGACCATGATCCTAGGACGTGCGAGCATAATATGCTTGTGGCTCAACAATACCTATCCAAAAACTTGGTTTCTCCTAAACCTGCTGTGCTTAATACAATGACCAGCCTTTTTGTCCTCTGCTAAACCAACTCAAAACGTGCAAAATCACCACTTGTAATCATCAACAGGCCATGTTCATCAGCCAAAAACTGGTGGCCCAATGACTAGCTCCTCGGCTTCGTTCTCATGCTCAATGGAATACCTGATCTTCAAAGGTCTTGGCCTTGGAGTCTCAAGCGGGCACCTAGCGTGGTGGTAAACCATTCCACGGGGGATCAAATAAGGAATTCATTAAGGGATTAATTAATGGAGATAAGTTTGGGATTTAATGGGTATATATATACACACATAATTATATATATATATGTGAACTCATATAATAATAAGATATATATATATATATTTGCATACTGGGGATACTATGATATAATTTGGAATATATCACCAACAATACGTGCAAAGGGGTCAAGTTACATGGGTCAAGTTATTGGTTTTCTGGGAAATTTACCACCTCGGTTATGGACATCCAAACAGAATGGGTATCTTTTTATCCCGATGAAAATCCTCCAATACGTGATATGTGTGTCTAATGCAACTTTTGACCATGGACCATGGCGAATGTTTTATGACCTGACACTAAATGTATTGCCGTCATTTGCCCATAAATGTATTCACATGTATTCACTAACATTAAAACATGTTCAACATCTAAAAATGATCAAACACATCTGCTTTGTATGTGTACTTTTGAAAGTCGTCCAAAATGATGCCATCTGGTGGCGGATTGGAACCACAATCCACTGGAAACCTCCAAATGGTCCTCGCAGCTTCGCTGAGACAAGACAAAGCCAACTTCCACATACCAAAATCACGGTGCATGCTCCAAAATCACAGCAAAACTCCCAGTTGTGTACAGTATCCACGGCTATATGGTTCAAACAAAATCATCCCGCCAAACCTACAAAATCATCCCGGATTTGACCAATACCACGAAAAACAATTCTGGCAACATGTTTGGTGAACATGAGGTGAACTCTGTTGAAGGTCAACTGACACACCATCAAGTGATCACCCAATAAGATTCTGGTTGGTGGTTTTAAATTTTAACCATCTTGAAAAATATGAAAGTCAATGGGAAGGATGACATCCCATATATTACGGAAAAATAAAAAATGTTCCAAACCACCAACCAGATAAGAAAGTGTCCAACCCACTGTTTTTTTTTCTCATTGTTCTTGTGGTAGTTCCTTCAATGTTTCCTTCATCAATTCATGAAATGACCATCCCTGGCACTGAAATAATTACATAGACCCTGCCAAATTGAGGTTGGAAGAATATCTTGCTCTTGCTATGGCCGATTCTCTTGCTCCCATTCTGAAAGATAGTTTAAGCCCCATTGTGTACTGATTCAATCACCATCTTTGGCTGATCAAAACCAAATGTTACTAGGGTATAGCCACCCAACATCTTGGTAAGCCTTGATGGTTACCCTCTGGTGGCTTCAAACATGGCTGGCAAATCCCAGAACTAAATGATTAAATGGCCATTTTTTCATGGGAGAGTCATCGAACGGGCTGGGTTTTCCATGTTTGAGGCCACCAGAGTAACCCAATTTGTGTTGGTGGAACAATCCCATGAAATCCTCATTACATCAACTGATTTCTCCATCAAAATGATGATGCAGTCAATCCCGTTGAATCCCATCAACTGTTTTCCATGGGAAAAGACCCCAACGTTTCATTCGTTTCGAATCATTTCTGGATAAAACATGATAAAACCATCGCGTTTCTGGATACAAATCAACCAGTCGCTGGTATCTATGCAATAGGATCCCATCCCGGAGAGTAACTATCCCATCAAATCCTTCTTAAAGTCCCATGAACTTATATATATATATATATACATATTATAATATATAATATATAATATTTATAATATACAATATATAATATATAATATACAATATATATATACACACATAATCTATATATATATATAATATATAGAATATAGATACTCATCTTAAATCCCCATTTTTCATGCTCAATCCCTCTGACAAAAATCCCATGAATTTCATCGTCGATGCCAAGCAGCTCAGCTTCATCAGCGGCCTTCTTCCATAGCTCTTCAGCGCTTGTCGATCCCAGGGTCTTCGCATCTGCCAGGGATCGAAATCGAAGTTGGGGATGCGAACATAGAAAAACTTATAGCTTATGTAATGTTTATATATGTTTATATATGTTTATGTCAACTTATAACTTATGTCAAATCGGCGAAGTTCACAACTAACATGTAACATGAACTTATACTCTAGTATGGTGTAATTGTGGTGCACTAAACCCATCTAGTCCCGAAAAGGGGAAAAGACAACGAAATCTGTGGCCATAAACAAACGCAAACAAGACTTGGGCGGCAGGAGCATTGTTCGGCTTGTTTTTTTTTTTAATTTAGCAACAGCAAAAACCAGGGTTACCCCCTCCAGTAGTTCCGGCTGGCACTGGTACTGCACACAAATACCAACCCACACACACACACACACACATCTGGGTAAATTAAAAAAAAAAACACTAACCTGAATTAAGGCCATTTGGGGGTGATTTCCCTTATTAACCATGATTCCAGTGAGGTCGCAGTGAGGTCGTTATAATTTACCCAAACACATGTCTATATAATATATATTAATTACATTCACTTCATTTCACCTGGTAAAGGGTAAAAACATGTACCGTACTACATGCTTGTTGACAACACGATGCCAAATCATTGAGTGTTGGTTGACAATGAACGAGACTGCTTTGCTAGAGGCAAATAATTGGAAAGAAACTGCAACCTGGATTCCCAGAAGCAAATGTTATAGGTGTCGATTCCACTTGCAAAGACAGGAACAGGTGTATTACCTCAATGAGAGACAGAGGAGCATGTTCAAGTATCAACTCAACAACACCCACTAAGAAATAGAACAACTGGGGCAAATCATGATCTTTGACAAACCGGAAACGCGCAACTGGGGATATGATTGGAATGATTTCCTTAATTATGGGTGGGGTGTGCCAGCGATGGCACCAGGAAATCGATCTGTAGAACAACTCCAGTGGAAGTTCCGCAAGTTGTCGCCACAGCAGAGTTTTTTGTTCTGCCCCGCGAACGGCGACCGGAAACGCGGCTGTTGACCTAGGCTGTTGAATCAGAGCAGCCCTAGAGATAAACCAGAAGACTTCGAAAAGGAGAGGATCAAATAAATTATCGATGGTTTGCTAAGGCCAGAGGGGGCCAAACTGCTAGAATATATACGCGACCAACAGTTGAGTACTATCCATGTCCGATGGCTTTAAAGATCATGGATATAGCAACCCAAATTGTTGGACTAAACCAATGGAGCAACCGTCACTCGCCAAGAAACACTAGTTGTATTCATCACAAGAAAAGACATGAAAAAACACTATCCCCATGTTCGGGGTTTTTATGGCATGCCCATGTTGGTTTTATTTGCACATCTTTGCTCGCTCTTGCTCCTTTTGGAAGCACCATCATGTCATTGATCATTTTGGGAGAGTTACCCTTACACTAATCATTTTAATGTGGTAAACACAATAATCACACATCTCAAAAATCACCATAAATGGGTGGTACCATCTCCAAATGGCAGTTGTTTAAATTGTTTATGGCATTGGGCTTACCACATTAATCATCATCTTTCAGTGACATGGTGGTGACATCCTTATAATTTTCCTAGCTCTCAACCCAGCGACTTCGACTTCAACATCTTCTCCACCGATGCTATCGTGGCCGCACAGGCCCAAGCGATGCTCAGAGAAACAGAGACAGAGCCTGCCTGGGCCGTTGGAAAGAAAGGCGACACAATGTCTGTGCATATGTGTATAGAGATAGATGCATCGAACACAATATAAACCTTAAACTATATGTTAAATGTAAATACATACACCAATTAGTTGATACTGTACCAATTACTGACAAAACATGTTTCTATAAATGTTTCTATTCTAACCTTGTGAACATTCCCAGTAAGTGGTAGTCGGTCTACTTGCAGAATTGTGTCGATGCATACTGGTCACTGCAAGACTTAGGACATCTTAGGACCACTAGGCTGCTAAGAACCCTTCAGCTCTGACAAGCCTTGTTTAAATGAATGATCTTGAATGATACCAAACAACATTCGCGTGGTGCGATCAAACAACAAAGGATGCACGCAAATACTGATGTATCCATGAGGCTGAGAAGCATGTCCAAAAATGGCTTTGTCTGGAAATGTTGGAGCAAAATCCCCTGGACCATCTTGTTGCCATTCAACAAATTGCCATTTTCTTCAGGGTATCCCTATGGAATCAGCCAGAAAAACATGGATCAAACGCAATGGATCAACGCCACGGTATGGGTCGAAATTGGGTAATCCTCCAAGTAAACATGGCTGATCATGGCTGGGACCCCGAAGCAAATGAAGGTTTCTAGAAGGTGAGGCCCCCATGGCTGATTTCTCCAATGGGTCCTGGTGGATTTCCAGCTTCGCCAGTGGGTCCTGCAGAAAATCCATCAGAAACGGTGGTTTCACCATCAAGAAATGGTGGTTTTGCCATCAACAAAATGGTGGTGGAACCAAGAAGAAATGGATTCAGTTTGATTTACAGTACTTTCACTATCCCCTAAACTATCCCAAACCAACATCATTAGCCCCTGAGAATCCCCGTTCTCAGAGGAAAGACTTGTTTTCCAACTCATCAACTCATGGCTACGTGGCTAGGTCTTCCACGCTTGTCGTTGGATCCCCTATGACCCTCCAAGCGACTGGTCTCAGGCAGGTCCTGTCCATCAAAGCCACAGGCAAAGGTGCCATGGCAACATATGGACCCATCCTGTGGCATCAAACAGCTGGGGATGGACAAAGCTATCCCCAAAGGTCAGCCTTGGAAAGCAGATTACAGATTTTTTTTTTGCTGCGCCTGGTTCGACCCTCACCCACATCACCATGAAGTTTGGAAAATCAGTCTCAGCATTCCCAATGGAATCTGGTTCTTCTAATCAACCATCCCATTTTTTCTATAGGAAATACACACCCTGGTGCTGCTGATCTTCATCAGGTGAAAATCCTCCAACACATCAGAGGGTCCCAAAATCATCCCCTGGGAGACCCTGCTTCTTGTACTTCACCAAATCCACCAACATCCTCAGAGATTTCGACTTGGACCCATCTCTGGTGCGATGGCGCCATTGTGATGGCGCCATGGTTTTGGTTAACGTTTCATGGGAGCTTTCATGGCTTTGTCTGAAAATGGAAACTTTACACCCAAATTTCTAGACACTTTTGAATCAAGTCACTGCCCATAGGCTTCTGCTTCCTCCGCGCTCCCAAAGGCACCGCTGTCCACGTCGAAGCCACCGCCCTGCGCGCGGCCCGCGAAGCTGAACTCGTCGCCTCCTTCAGCCGCGGCCGCGGCGGCAGCGGCGGCAGCGGCGGCAGCAGCGGCCGCTCGGGCGCCCGCGGTCATACCGGCACCACCGGGTCCGGTCATACCGGCACCACCGGGTCCTGCGAGGTTGGAACACAAGCCATGAAACAGTGGGTGGAATCATTTGGAATAATGTCCTTAATTTTCTGGACTGTAGAAAGAAATATCTTGCTGGTTTAAAGATGTTTTAAGCAGGTCACTTGCACATACTGGCACTAACCAGTGTCGATCCAGATGGGCCAGCCCTCTATTGATAAAGTATCCAGTGGGAGAAGTGTCAAAAAGAAATGAAAAGACCATACGGGCTGATTAGGGAGAAGTATGAAGAAGTATACAACGTTTTCTGGCTGTTCAACGAAATGTGTTTTTTGTACGGTTGGTTTATCTGCCACAGACCAAACAGGAGTCATGAATGCAGGGTGCCTCTATGCAACCGCCTTAAAGAATGATGTTCAACTCCACAATTCAATTGTGAAACATATGGATCAAAAGCCACCAACTTAGAGTTTTACCCAGGATCGTCGCTGGCAAAAATCGCTGGATCTTCAATGATTCATCCAACAGGTCCCCGGTCCGGCCCCGAACCCCGATGCTTCCTCCGAAGTAGTGCGCGGCTGGAGCTTCTTTCCTGATCCCCAAAAAATTGCTGGTCTCTGGTCCCCAAGAATCCTTTTTTCTGTGGAAAATCTGAGTCTTTTGGAGTTTCGATTTCACTTTTGGATTGGAAAACATTGAATATAACATCCATGGATCCACAGTCATCCGCCATTTGTTCCCCATGAAAAAAACGCAGCACTCACTTTCCCATGAATTGCACAGGTCCATCCGCGTCCTGAACCTCTCCAGCATCATGGGGTCATCCCGATCAATCAGCTGGACCTTGGTGGCTTGATTTTGGTGATCGAATGATCGACAAGTAAAAAATGAACTGAACAAAGCCATGCCAAACCATAAAACAACATAATGAAATATTGTTGCATTTCTTGATTCTGAACTATGTTTGGCCTGTGATCTGATTTGACTCATAGTTCTTATCCAGGCCAGTCCACAAAACACAAAACAACATTCCTGGTGGCCTCTGTCAACATCAAGTTGTTTCTCACTTGGACATGGGTTATTAGTTATTATGTGCTAGGGTCATTCCAGCATTGCTGGAATCCTTCTTTTCGCCATGAAAATTCCTGGCAGTATGACTCATCCACATACCATCCCCCAGGGTAAAACATTTTGGACCATCCCCAGGATGAGATGATTGTGACTTCCATGGCCAGTTGTAACTAGATATGGGGGGTTCCATACATGGGGGTACCGAAATATCTGTTTTTTGGTTTATTTCATGGAAAATCCCATTGAAATTAGGATGATAACTAGGGGCACCCCCAATTCAGGAAACCTCCATATGTCTTCCATCCTCTTGATTGTATATATATATACAACAACCATATTCCATGTCCTCTCTCATGAGTCCTAATGTTTTTCTTGGGGATTCTAAGCAGTGTATTCCGTTCCGACCATCTGCCTCACAACTGCTGAAGCGTGATGAACGGCTTATGTGTTGCATGTTCCCATTGATTTACACCCCTTTTAAGATGGGAATCTTTCCTAAAATCCTTGAAACATATAAGGCTCCACAGGCTTAACCCATCAGAACCCAGCCTCCAAATCAGCGACCTCATCAATGCTGCGGTCCGTGCGCTTCTTGTGGATCGCCTAACGGAAGGGCTGGAGAGGACTGGGGCCCCGAAGATTTATGATTTGATATGAATTGTTTTCTTGCGAGATTTTTTAGGAAAAAAAACATGGCAACATGTTCAGTTAAACCCAACATATGGGGGGTTCCTGTCCCTTTTCGACCCTGGCAACGCTAGGCGAGTTGTTGATTGATGTTCAAGCCGCATCACCTCCCCGAAAGCCCCGTTTCCGGCAACGGACCATACCTCAGCTCGAACTTCCGCTGTTGTTCCGTCCAAAGGATCATCGGCTATCCTCAGCTTGGACAGGTAGAAAACAATCATTTGGTTGAAGTTTGGAAGCACAAAATCACCAGATCTGATCTACCCTACTGGTAAAATCAACATAAATCAACACGTTTGCACTCCACAAAGTCACCTTGTCGATCAAGTCATGTCCAGTCTCTTTCACTGGTTACAGCACACATTCTCACAGTCCCCAAGTGTTAGCACAAACAGACCAAGGGGACGCGTCGGCGCCCCTGAAACCACCTCATCTAGAGGAATGTGGAGCATGCATAGCATTGCCATGTGGTCTAGACATGCAGCTTATATCAGCTATGCATTTGCCTGGAAATATAATTATCCAGAATCGGGTACCCCACAATTTATTGTGGTGCATCCTCCGTACAAAAATTGCAATTTTGGGTTGTACTGTATAACATTGTATACCCTCTGGTAAACTAACATAGCTATTGAAAATGACCATTGATAGTGGATTTTCCATGATTTTCCCATTAAACATGGTGATTTTCCATTGTTATCTTAGTTTACCAGAGGGTAACCCATGAGCAAACCCAAATGGCTCTTGAATTTAGCGGATGGAGCACTCCAAAGGTGCCTTTAAAAAAACCATCGGGGGTGCGAAATCGCTGGAAGCTTCACTGCCCTGAAGCTCCGTAAAAAGCATGTCCTAGTCAAGGCATATAGATTTAAGGCATATCTGAATCATTCTGAATCATATCTGAGGATATCTGAGGCCTACTTGGTGGCTCATCCCACTTTGTAAGTGGGTTATAACCCCAGTTATAAGTGGATTAACCCTACTTATCCCATGCAAATTACTGGGGTTATAACCCACTTGCTAAGTGGGATGAGCCACCAAGTATAGACCTGAGAATCCTTAGAATTTTACATGCTTTCAAATGCTTCAAGGAATTTCGAAGGGTTCGTGTAGTGGATAAGTCAAGTATCCCCATGCTATTTTAAGCATAGACCATCAACCACAAAGGGTATCAATGGAGGGGCCAACATCGGCCAAATGTCCAAGATCCTGCGACAGCGCTTCGAACGCCGTCGAAGATTCAAATATGTTAATGGATTCAAATGGGAATGTGAAGCAAGATGGATATTTTTGTCAAATGGCCGGTACCCTGATGAGCATCAAATTAGCTAATAAATGGTTCCAAGCAAATGTTCATCTATGTTCATCTCCCCCAAAACCGGTATCAAACAGTTTGTGATCCATCCTCAAAGAAATTTCAGGAGCAAACTCCAAGTGCACATCATTGACCGGCAAAAACCAGCGAAACCACTGCGCGACTTTCACAACTTGATGACATCACCTTGACCCACAAGTCAATTGTTCTGGATTAGCAGAGAGGCTGTAGGATTCTTCTAGGATCTCACCTTGGTTGAGTGCTAACTTAGCCCGCCAAGTTTCACTCTCAATTCCAAGCGGTTCTTGGTCTTGGGGGCATAGCAAGGCGGCTTGTAAGCTGTTTGATCACCACCATCTGGTCGCATCTTTCCTCCCAACAATCTGAGTGCAAACATGCCAAACCATAGAACGAAATGGATCCCCATTGCATGACCACGCCAAGAGCAATCTCAGATTCACGAAAAAAAAGTGGTTTCATCGTGGGTTTGTCTGAAACTAGGCTATCCCCAAATTTGATGGTTTACTATCCCTATGGATCCAAACACTGTCTGAGAAGGTACTTAAGCCTCCAAATCATAGTAAATTATACCCCAAACACTTCCTAAGAAGGTACTTGGACCCATAGGGTATCATCTTTCCCATTAAAATGAACAAATTTGGGGTCATTTTCATACACACCCTAAGAAATCTAAGAATGTGTGGGGTGGGTCTGACAAGACTCACCCGCAACCATGGGTCAGAGATGGCCAAAGGGGTGCCTTTCAACAGAAGCCCTAATCATCCATGCCGACAACTACCGGCAGCATAAAGATCAAGCTAGGATCCTCTGAAATACAGCGTAATACTACATAATACTACAATACAGTACTACATAATTCATAATACTACATTTGCCATGGCAACATTCTTGTTTTGGGTGGAATTTTCAGCGGTCATCCAAAAATACCACAGGTCATATCCTGCACAGAAGCTGGCCTGAAAGGTCAGTGATGGCCTTGTCTGTGGAGTATGTGGCACTCCATATCACCTCCTCACGGCTTGGCTTTGCGACATGAATTTTCTGTGCAGCCAGCAGCCATGGCAGCTATGACAAGGTACATCAAGGTAGCAAAATTACTTGTGTTTTTGAAGCTATGAAACATAGAACATAGTTTCAGCACCCAGAGCTGGAACACCCATGGATCCATGACAATGCGACGCTTCAGCCCCAAGCAATACATTGATATATTGGAACACTTTGCGGGCAAGGACCATCCTCAGAATGGGCATCTTCATCTCTTGAGTTCCCCCCGCTGTGGGGTAGCCTGATGTTTTTACAGAATCAAATTGCTGTGAAAAGGTCCTGCACTTAGTGTTTTACACATTGTATCATCTTGTTGCGAGTTGAACTGGTTGGTGGTTTCAACCCCTCTGAAAAATATTAGTCAGTTGGGATTATTTTTCCCAATATTTGGAAAAACATGTTGGGATTATTCTTCCCAATATATGGACAAAATAAAACATGTTCCAAACCACCAACCAGGTATGTTATCTTGCATTGGAGATATTCCCGCTTTGACCATCTTTGCTTCGTTTTATGCAACATGTCTTTGTTGATCGAAACCACCAACTGGGTTTGTCTGAAAAATCACGGGGACCCTAAATTCGATGGTTCATGACCAAAATTGCCACAAGTGGCTGCCCATACCGCGAAACTGAGACACATCCATATTCTCATATTGATGGCGAAAAATTCCCCGTTGTATCCCTATAAAATCCAATGAACAGAATCCATGTGTTGGTTTATTTCCCACTACATTGCCCTTTAACAAAAACAACCAAAAATCACGGAAAAATGAGTTGATCCACCCTGAACCTTTGGGGTGGTTGGCATTTTGACCTGGTATCCACATGTCGCCACCCACCGGTGACTCACCCAGCTCCTTTTCGCCCTTGCCGTCTCGACCCAGATCTGTGAGCTCAACACTCACATTCCTCGGGGCCGATCTAAATTAACATAGACCCTGGCAGTCATCGGGGCAGATTAGTTACCACTTCAAACGTGCGATTTTCAGGGTCTGTGTCTGTTAATTTACCAGAGGGTAACTACAAGATATATGATATGGGGCTATTGACCATTATGTGGTTTCCGAACGGAAATCCGCTTTTTCCACTGGATCGGGGATCCGTTGAAGATGTTTGGCCATTTTTGAGGGCCCTGCCAGGTATCGAAAAAATGGTCATTCCATTCATCTAACTGGGGATATTCCATTTATAACTAAGGTAATACTAAGGTGGCAATATGGTTGCTACCATCGAACTGGGATGCAACCCCATCAGCTACCAATAGCGACGGAATTTTCTTCGCCCAGTGCGCCTGATAACCAAAAAGAATATGGCGGTCGACAACAAGTAATGGTTACCATATGATCACATCATAATCGATATACCCTCTGGTAATTTAACATAGCTATTGAAAATTGCCATTTATAGTGGATTTTCCAATTAAAAATGGTAATTTTCCATAGTTATGTTAGTTTACCAGAGGGTAAATATAACCAAACAAGAAAACAATACATAATACCAACAGAGGACATTGTCAACAAGAAACGACCATATGGGCGCGTTTCGTCATCTCACCATCATGGGATTCTCCCACATCTTCCCCAAGATTTTCTCAGATATCCCCGGCCCCAGCTGCCCAGCTGCTTCACGGGATAGCGAAATTGAATGGAGGGATGGTCATCGTCGGCCAGTGGTCTGGGCCGGGCCCCAGCCCTGCCACAGAAGAACCTGGTGAAACCAAGAGGTATGTGTGTTTTACATATATGTGTCTCTAGCATATCTATATTCCAATACCATTTTACTGTTTTTGTCTTTCATGTAATATATGTATATTTATGCAATAAATATCTATAAATGCTAGTTATTGGAGTTATAAACAACTTAGCCAACTGTGGGGCACCATGGTGCAGTCTTTTAGACACAACTGGGTTGGAAATCTCTAGGCGTAACTTCAGTCGATTTAACTGTCAATGGATAGAACAAATGAGCAGCAACTAGAAGTGACAAAACACGGGGCCAGCATGCTCTGTCTTAAATATGTGACTATAGATCATGAACAAGAAGCCCAACAATCGAAGATGGGACTCTGTAATTTATATACATAATTAATAAAAATTATAGAAATGGTGTTTTGCCACCTACTGGTAGAAAATAATTTTGTATATCCTCTCATTGTAGGGTATATAGCCTATATAGCCCTCCTTAACATTGACCATAGGATCTACAGCCCAACACTGGATGTCCTTGGATCAAATCATCATCGCAATGTCCAGGTTGTGAGAGTTGGAGATCCAATCTGGTTGGTGGTATACCTACCCCTCTGAAAAAATATGAGTTCGTCAGTTGGGATGATGATTCCCAATATATGGAAAATAAAATTAATGTTCCAAACCACCAACCAGCAATCACATCTGGAAGCGACCAGAAACACTAGGAAATTGATGAATGGACATGATATGCTTGGACATATCCAATTTGTGGCACGACAGAGTCACTCACTCGCAAGCAAGGAACCGTAACAGTATTCTAAAAGAATGACACAGTTCATGAATATACATCATTAAACATTACAATGCTCGGTAAAAATTGCCTTCCCATGCTTTTCCAATGAAAAAACAACAACTCAGCATTTACTGCACAATGCTTTCGGGAGCAGATTCTGCAGGGCGTCCATATGTGTGAGCTTGAATACACCTGGGTGGGCCTACAGAGGTCTCCATATATCCATTGATTGAAAATCAGCAGCGTTCTCAGCCCAATTTGTTTGGGAATATTAGGTCTTGCCCATACAGGAAGGCTCCCCACAGTTGTGATTTGGATTATAAACCCATTCAACTCTCAATATATCAACCATAAATCCTGCGCCGTCTATACCCTACAGCACTCCCCAAAAAGATAGAAACGTGCTTCCAGGATGTTCTAGATGATATATTTACTTCATATTCCCAAGTTTTCCACTTTTCTATCTATGTTCGGCTTCTTACCTATCGCCCATAGCCCGCCATCCCGCGCCAGCAGGGCACTTTGGAAAGCGTGAGTTCTTCATGGCAAGGTTGATTCCCATGATGTCGTTCTGCGGCCGATTCACGGAACAGGAAATCCCATGGGACATCCTTAACTGATTGGACTTTCCCTCCCCAAAATCGGGGAATTACCCAAAAAAAATGCCGAGAAATGACATGCAACATACTACAAACATATGGTAGAACAGGAAAGCAGGGTGATTCAAGCAGCTTAAGCATCAGGATGAAACCAGTATAATGACGGGACCCGGTCCACACCGGTCCAGTGCTCACTTGCCATACCACATCATAATTATAGTACATATAATTACCACTTACATGGTAATCCACTTTTTCGTGAATTGGACATGTGATTGTGGGAAGCGGCCGCAGGAAATGAGTCTCTCACACTCACAGGCTTTGGGGTGGGCAGGGTTGGAGCAGCCTCACTATTTTAAATCTGCAACTACACAAATGCCAGCATTCATGCTACAAATGCATGAGCTGATCCTGCACTTCAGAACTATCGCCACCAGCATCTGGATCGCCCCAGGTCACAACTGATCCGTCTGCCACAATCGCAGCAAATGCGCCCTGTGTGGCCTGAACCTGCTGCACATTCTTGAGCTGATGTTGGACTTTAGAGCTGTCGCCACCGAACGCTGACGCGCCCCATGAAATAACTGATCCGTCCGCCAAAGTTGCGGCAAATGCACCTTGTGTGGACCGAACCTGCTGCACATTCCTGAGCTGATGTTGGACTTTGGAGCTGTCCCCGCCAAATACTGGCCCACCCCAGGTAACAACCGATCCCTCTGCCAAGATCGCAGCAAATGCAACAGCTGTGGCTTCAAGCTGTTGCACATTCCCAAGCTGGGATTGCACGGCTGAACTGTCACCACCATATTCTTGACCACCCCACGTAAGAACGGATCCATCTGCCAGGATCGCAGCAAATGCACCTTGTGTGGCTTGAATTCGCTGCACACTGTGGAGCTGATGTTGAATCTGAGAGCTGTCGCCGCCAAATGTTGCCTTGCCCCAGGTAATGACCGAGCCATTTTCCAAGATGGCAGCAAATGCGCCGACTGTGGCTTGAACCTGCTGCGCCCGTAGGAGTTGATCTTCCAGCTGAGAGCTATTGCCACCAGCTTCTGGATCACCCCATGTCACGACCGATCCATCGACGTGCATTGAAGCGAAGGCACCAGCCGTGGCTTGAACCTGCTGTGCAGTTCCGAGGCGATTTTGGATTTCAATGCTACCCGGGTTACCCCATTCTGGAATGCCCCAGGTAACAACCGATCTATCTGCCAAGATCGCAGCAAATGCTCCAACTGTGGCTAGGACCTTCTGTACGTTCCTGATTCGATCTTGCACCGCAGAGCTATCACCACCAGAATCTGGATTCCCCCACGTGACAAGTGATCCATCTGCCAGTATCGCAGCAAATGCTCCACCGAGGATGAAATCGTTGACCGCTTTGAACATGGCCGTCCCCTGAACTGTCTGCACTCCTCGGAGATCTTTCACTGCAGAGCTGTCCCCACCAAACTTTGGATTTCCCCAAGTAATGATCCTGTTACCACCAGAGCACCACAACGCAAAGGCTGCGGAGGTTGCTGTCACTTTGGTTTGACAAACGATTGCAGAGAGATGATCTCCATTTTGGAGCCCGACAGCTTGCAGAGATTCCAATGGATCCGTCAGGACGTCTCCTTTGGCAGTGACAAGCCTCAGGAAGCCTTGTGCGAAAGATTTCTGGGCCAGAATTCGCAAGTCCCCTACTTTGGAGGACTGTGGGAGTGACAGCTTCTCACAGCGACCACTGGGTAAAAACACTTTGACATGAAGCATCCCGTAGAACAAAAGGTGGTCTCTGGTGGATCTCCACTTTTAAAAAACCAAAACATCTCGAGCCCATGGCAAAGTCCAGAAAATGCCGGGTGCCCCCTGTCCATGTCCAGAAAATGTGTAAGATCTTAGCAGCTTGGCTGTTTCAATGGTCTTCAGAATCCAGATGGTGTTGGAAGAGTCTTACAACAGTACTTGGGGTTGCAGTTCCCCATCAGAAGTGGTATATGGTCATCATCAGTATTGGACACGATAGGATTTGGCTGCCAACTTATGGTAAACTTTACCCCTAGTAGCCATCAGAATTCCCACCAGCTCTCACCTTATAGAGAAGTCACAACTTGGGTGTCCAGAGAACCACATCTATTGATCAAAGAAAACATTCTCTGGGCAATGATACGAGAAATTAAGTTTAATTAGTCTTCATGTTGGATGATGTTTTAAAATTTTTAAGCATCTTTGGTTGGTTTCAACACACTGAAAATTCCTATGGTTTCAAGCAGAAACACCTCCAGGGTTGAACATAAGAAATGTGGCTGAAAGCAGCAATCAAAATAACTCACAAAGCTGTTTCAAAACCGCAACAAAGTAAAACAACGGATAATGTTTGGAGATATCCATATATAATAGATCCATGTCATTATGTATCCATATGTTTCCAAACATGATGTGATTTGATTCTGATACCACGAGTTATCATTATCATAATTCATAATATAATTGCTATTGTAGTATTATCAGTTATACAAAATGACTATCTATTATCTACTATAATGATATCTATAATCATGACAAGTTTAATGTAATCCCATATGATCCACGTCTGGAATATTTACTAACATTTGCCCTAATAATCACCCAAATGTATATAGGTAAAGATGCCATACATGGAGCATATGGGTATACTAACATTAACCATGATTTTTCATGTTCGAGATGGTGGAAAGGGACCTGCCAGTGGCTATTGAGGCCGATGGATTCGCCCAGCTGCCGAATCCTTGGTGCGTCTGAAATTTTCGCTGCACCAAGGGCACTTCGGAGACCAACCACGGTGGCGGATATCTAGAACATAACCGGGCTTTATGCTAGGTATAATTATATATATATATAAATAATTATATATAGATAATGATATATAGATATATATATAATTATACGTGTATATATATTTATAATTATAATCAATTATATATATATAGGTAATGGGCTTAAACATGCTTAAACATGCTTAAACACTTTTGAACCATTGAGTTATTCCAATACTACTGGATTGGTTTATCCCTTCTTAGAATAGCTTCGCAAGTTGAACAAATCGCCTCATCAGATTTCTGGGTATAGCTATGGGATGAAGCAGTCAGAATCTATCACTGCTATCAAGAAAAACAAAACAAAGGTGATGTAAAAGTATATGTTAAAAATAAGTAATGTTCTTCAACTGTGAAGTTTAACTTTAGTTTTTTTCTGAGATTTCCGCCTTTTACCAACAAATAAACAAGGCTTTGCTCGTGCAATCCTGTTAGTTGGCTAGCAAGGGTGGCCAAAGGCAATTTCTCAGCAGAACTGAATCCGACTATCATTGGAACAGCACCAAAATTAAACTTGGCAGCAAAGTGAGTGAAAAAGATTGAAAAACTACCATCTGGTTATGACTAACAGTTCGCCATGGAAAGATCCTCCATGCTTTTAAGTTCGGTAAACCCAGGTAAACCATCTATTTCGATTAGGGCCATGGCTTAACCATGGCAAACTCTTAGTCATAACCAGATGGTTTTCTCCTGTGCAAATAGGAGAAAGTCAAATCTTGACTGCAGTTGTTTTCAGATTGAACCCAAATTTCAATGGGCAAAACAGGGCAAATGTATGCAAATGTCACGGGATAAAAATGCGTTATTCTGGTTGGTGGTTTCAACCTACTCCTCTGAAAAATATGAACGTCAAATGGGATTAGTGTTCCCAATATATGGAAAAATATAAACTGTTCCAAACCACCAGCCAGTATTTATGTCATAGATGTGTATGTCAATGTCAACCTGCACCCCAACGGACCGTTGCCTTGGAGGGTTTAACCTCTAAAGTGTTGGATTTCGCAGTTTCCGTGGCGTACATACCCTATTTTAGGTGGCTGAAGCAGTGACTAATACCCACCTCAGACTAGTTAGTAGACGAACTGTTCCCTCAAACTAATCAATATCAATGAACTATACACCTCAATAAAGCTAACGTCTAAAAGCAAACAAATAAAGCTGTTTGTTGAAACCTATGATAATCCAACACAGATCTTAATCAAATTGTCCATGTAACATCTCCAGCGACACTGCTTCCATTAGAATTGACGGGACTTTGGGACAGGGGTTGGGTCGCAACTGACAACGAAATCTTGGGGTACCCTATGTTCAAAAAGAAACATATTTCAATGCCCTGTCGCAGCGTACTGAATATGGGTGTCCAGATCTCAACACCAAACAATTCCTATGGGTTTACAGCCAAAGTCTGATTGTTCATGAGATAATCAACATCGATCACTACACTAAAATTGCTAGTTTATGAATATATTCCCTATTTTTGGGAAACGATTTCCCCATAACTTGTTGGAGTTTCATCCAATGAGACACCCAAAAATCAAATCCAATCACGTAAATGCGCCATAAATCCCATGTGTGTCTAATTCGACTGTATCATGAAGGGGTTAAGAACCATTATAACTTATAACCATTAGTAACTGTTGATTATTAAGCATGAGAACTGCATCCCCAAGCAGTCTCAATCATAAACAATTGATAACCAATATCAAACATTATCATTGATAATTAACCATTATCAATAATCATAAACAACATCAGTGATTGTGGAACAAATAAGCAGTACTAATCATTCATAACCATTATCAAAAAATAACAAGTGATAACCACGATGAACCAGTATTAAATAGTATAAATTATTGATAATGCAATAATAATTAATCATCATGAATTGTTATTAATAACCATAATTGATAATGTCAAAATCACAAATCATTGATAACTGATAACCCTTAATAGCCATTAATCATCATGAATCATCATTACCCCAAGCATCTCCAAGCCTTGCCATTTCGTAAGGACGGACGCAAGGCTTGGGGCCCGGACATGGGAAGCAGGACCACCCTGGATGCACCTGCGCCAGCTGTGCCACCTGCGCATCCAGGGCGCCACCATGGCACTTCACGCGGAGGTTTTTGTGGTGATTTGTGGCGATTTTATGAGGATGTTGTGGGAATTGTTACAAGGAGTTCATGTATATATGAATATTGTTATGGGAATTTCAATGAATTTCATGTATATTAGTGAGGATTTTATGGGACTGTATGAGGATATACTATGATATACTGAGATGTAACCAAAAATTCTCTGCATTTTTACTCACTAGAACATAATTCACCAACGTCAATCCAAGTCCTATCATTCCAGTGATGTCGCAGGCCGCGGCCGTTATAATTTATCCAAATGAATGACATGTTTTTTTTTGCAGCAAAATATAGGATTTTGGCATATGAATGTATAATAATATATACAAATGAATGATATTTTTCTCCACATCGCCATAGCTTAGGAGCAGAATTGTTGGACTTGAGTCTCCACTCCTGCCGTCCTGTATTCTCTCTTTCAATGGGCATGGGTCAAAATTGGGTATCCCCCCCCTTTACTGTATCGGGGGCCCCGGCACCTTCAGTCTCAGCCTCCATCTCCACCTTGACGCCTGTGTCACCTGCGTCACGCAGGGTGCTGCATGGTTTCTACTGATCTGACAGGGTAGAAGTCAAAAGGGTGCAAAAGTCATGATTTATGATTATCTACCAACCATGATGGTTTATAATGTTTATAATAGCAAAAATAAACGGTTGTTTTATTTTTTGGGTGGTAAAGAAGTTCCCCCTCAAATCAATCAGGCCTTCTGAAAGGAGCATCCATCCTCATCAACCACATTTGAGCGGCTTGCCAAACCATGCCAAACCCCTATTGTCCATACATCATCATTCTCAACTGATTCAGCGCTAGCGGATATATGCACCGCAAAAATCTCGACATGAACCATAAACTGTCCATCCATCGAATTTAACCTTTCCCAACACATGTCCTAGAGGACCACATCCCAGATTCATCGATGGCAATTCTGCAAAAAAACATGGTGAAAAGGATGACAGAGATCATCGTACCTGCTGGGTCGCTTGGGCAGCATCTACACCTCTAACATCACACCAGCCTTTGTAAGTTAAACAAACTCCTGATTTATTTCCCCTCATGATTGAAAACATGTAATTCATTGTCATTCATGCCGACAATTTTTTGGTTAAATCACCCCCATGCCACAATGAATTGTTGAATGATTCTGTTCACTCATTGCGAATGTATTAGACCACTATGATTACGCAGTACTCAAACGTGGCAATGGAAAGGGTTCAATGAGTTCAATGGGAAAATCATCTATCGCCCTGTATGATTCATTGAACCCTGCACAACTACTTGGTGTTATTAATTAACCCATCTCAAATCTATCGATCGTTTGCCATCCCAAGTATACTTCGAATGGATCGAACAGTAACAAAAAATCGCCGAAACAGGTTGAAAACACTTATATATTATTGCCATGACCATATATTGTTTCTTGGCAAAAACATTCAGCAAAAACTATGTTCTCCCTTCCCCCCCATCATTTTCCATCCCTTTCCCACCTTGATCTTCGCCATCAGCACCTTCACCACCATCTTCGTCACCGTTGTCACCGTTGTCACCGCCGTTGTCGCCGTTTTTGCCACCGGAGCTCCCTGACTTCGCGCGGCGCCCAGATGCCGCCGCGCTGCCGGTGGAGCTGCTGGAGCTGGCCCAGCTGGCGCCGGAGGCGTCTTGGTCCTTGGCGTCTTGGGAAATCATGGAAGCCATGGCCATGTTATGCCATGTCCATTAGGACCTTAGGTGACCTTAGGTGTTAACGACCATAATCATTCACCTTGTATATATATATATATGTAACAATGTATGTGTATATATATATATATTATATATTAGATCTGAATTGTTTGAAGGCTGTGTTGTGAGGATCCAATATAATTTGTTGCTTGGGTGAGATTGCTTTTGAGGTGAAAATGATTGGAAACAATTGGGCTGAATTTGGGAAACCCCTTGTTCTTGTATGTGTTGGGTTTCCTGGATGCTGCAAGTCCAAAACAAATACTTACACTTTCTACACCAGGCTTACTAAACTGAACATATCGCGCGGGTCATGATTCATTTTGTTTACAGAAGTTTCCATAAAAATCAGTGGTTTCAACTGGTTTCAACTCACTTCATCTGGGAAAATCATGCTTCCCCAGAGCTGGGCCATTGATGGTTCCCCCAATTCCTATCATCAGAGGTCGTGGCTTGGGGTGCCCGGTCCATAATAACGCGCTGGTCATGTGCAAAAAAATATGGGATACGTTGGAGAAGCAACCCACTGGTTGGTGGTGCAATGTGCCCATCTTGAAACATGATGGAGTTCGTCAATGGGGTTGGGATGACATCCCATATATGAAATGGAAAATAAAAGCCATGTTTGAAACCACCAAGCAGATTATTGGTATTCTAATTGCTTACATGAGACGTCCTTGTTGTGATTGCCCTATTGTTCGTAATTCAGTCCCCAGCTCAATGAGTATGTTGGACATATATCTCCTCTCCCAGATCCATGTAGAGTAGATCAACCTGTACTGAATCTGAAACCAAAATCCTGCAAATTTTGGCAAACATGCCATGCCACCAAACTGAGTACTCAACATCAGTATAGTCATAGTGAGGTCGGTATATTATGTTATTAACTGTTATACTTTATGTACATGCTACTAGTATGGCTTTGGAAACCAAACCACCAATTTCCCAACAGATTTCTTCCCAGATTCTGTGGAACCAGAAGAGTCTGTCCCTCGCAAATCTCGCTCGCGACTGACAGGAAAAACGTGTTTTGGTCACTGTCAGTGCCGAGGCCTTTCCAGAAAAAAAAACACATACAGGAAATTGCATGCACATGCTACATTTGCAAGGTAAGTACATAGATTCCAGTTTAATGTAGATTTTCCTGGTTGCTGGTGGTCATAAACTAACCCTAAACCCTAAACATCCTTTAAAAAACACCACGTAGTACCCCCGTTTGTTGGCTAAGTTGGCGCAAATAACTCCAATAACTAGTGTTTGTGGATGTTTCACCATCGATATATCAACTAGTTGAGTGGGGAATTATACACCAACAACCATAACTGGGGGGCACCACCTTGTTTGTTTGACCTTGTCAAGGTCTGTGGTTCCTGGTGTGAACCCCCAAAATATGAACTTGGGATCATCGTCCTATTAAGTTTGAAAAGCAAAAACGACTCTAAAAACCCAACTAAAACCATCAACAAAAACGCACCAAAATAAGTGGTGTCAACTATTTGAACAACAAACACATCCAAAAAACAAATCTAAAACAATCTAAAAGAAACACCAAACAATAGAATCTACGAATCTACTCCAGTCGTTTCATCAGATCTCCCGGTTACTCGGCGTGCAACGGTGGCCTCTCAGTCATCTGTTGCTTCAGCTGCTCTGCACTGAGCTGGGCCTCCCAGCCTGGGATTTTGGGGTTAGTTTCAGACCCCCAAAAAATGATGAGCAGTGCAGCAGTGTTCAAAACCGCAATATATTAAGTGGATAGTACACCAACAAGGGTTTTGAACACAGCTAACCTGACTCTTGGAACAAAGGTAGATAATTTCTGAAAGTCCATGGCCAGTTTAGCTGTCATGGTCAAGATAGTCATGGGGTCCAGCAACGGGATTCCAACAAGTCCGGGTCAAAATCATCAACCGTGGCTTGTCGGAAAATCCACCATTGAATTCGATGATTTTCGCGAACAAAACCTTGGATTTGCCAGCCGCGATTGACACCAGAGAGGTACTGTTGATGGTTTGCACACAGGACCGTTTCGCCGCTGAAGATGCCCCAGGTGGGCCCACATGAATGATATGAATGACTGGCATCCTATAGGTGTCCTCTGGATATATCATACCCAAATACTCTAGTATATATGGTATATTTATAGACAGGGACACCTAGCACGCAGAGACTGATATGCTTACAACATCTGTTGGAGGCCAAAACAAAAATAAGAATTCACCTGTCTGGGAAACACCTGTAGTAAACAGATTCTAGGTCCAACATGGACCCTACACATTTTCATCATCAGGTGACAAATTGCAAAAAAGCAGACTCTTCATTGTCCTCTCCGTGTCAAGAAGTGTCTTAGGCAAACACTGTAAATCTGATCCAAATATAGTCCTTTTTGAAGCTCTTGGCAATCTTCACCTATATGACATGATTGAACTGACAACTTATTTGACTATATAATTTCTATCAAATGCCCAAAGAATCCTTATGCCAAAAACTAGCAAATACTAGTAACATCTAGCAACATCTAGTCCATTCGTGACCTGAAATCAAGGGTTGGATGTTGCGCCCATGGCGCGATGGATAGGGACTCCGCATCTGAGGCCCAAACTTCGATGATTCGCATTCCCTTCCTGTGCAAAAATATTGGCCTATAGCTTTCAATTCACCAACTGCAACTGCAAACTTGAATAATAAGAGTTCAACTATGTTCAACTCAGGTACTGTGAACCCATGATTACTTGATTCCTGGTTGGATATATATTAATTACTTGTTTGGGGGTTCACCATCCGGGTTGATTTATCCAGGGTTGACATTCCATTGTTGGAAAAAAAACTGATGATGATTGCTTATGTTTTTTTATGTATATTTAAGCTGTCACTTGTAACACATTCTGTACTGTAGTGAGCCCAATCATTGACTTCCAACCAATCAGGGATGGCCTACACCACTTATTCATCCATGCCTAGTAAAATTGGAGTTGCTTTATGGCTTTAGGTTCATTACATTACAAATCACGAGGTTTCCCTATGAAAACTGCCATAAATTGGGCTTAAGAAGTGGCCAACATGGCCATAATACATAGTTCATATAGCGGCTATATATATATATATATACACAAATAATCTGGGGCTTCTCAATCATCATCACAACTATCATAACTTCCACACATCTTGTCTTTCACCCCAACCTACACCCCGCCGCAAGTCCCAAGGTCCTCTCGCAGCCCGCTGGCGCGTGCGCTCACCGACGCAATGTGCTGCGGCGGAGCCGTCGGTGCTTCGAAGCGCAGAAAGCCGCTGCGAGGTCTGGGCGCTGCAAGAAGTGTGGCCTGACACCAGCTGAAGAGCTGGGCTGTAGATTTTCTGAGATGTGTCTGGTCCACCTACGGTATGACATGTTTTTGGATGCGAATCAAATTGGTCTTTTTCACCTGATTTTGGAACGGATAGGATTGATCAACAAACACCAGCCCTTTAGAGAACCATGTGAAGAAAGCTGGAGCTGTCATCAGTTCAACGGCTTGCTCCAAAAAACAGTGGTACCATTGACCCATAGGTCACACCACAGACTGATCAAACATTCATACCATCCGTTTTGGGAAATTCCTCTTGGATCATGTTCAACCGACCTTTGGATGGGAATTTTGCAGTACCCTCTGGCAATTGAACGCCATTAGCCACAGCAAATTGCCATTTGTACAACTTTATACAACTTGATTTACCTATATTTATGTACCAAAAACTAATGAGATTTTCCGTAGCTATCTTATGCTATGTTAGTTTACCAGAGGGTATACCATGACCAAATCCCGGGCAGGTGCAGCAACTGGGCACCTCTGTATAAAAAGCTCCCGCGTGCTGCTTGTTGCGCAGGGCGTCCATTTCGCGACTGGCGATCCAGGTAACCCTTTCGCACCAACGGATTTGGCTGAAAACAGGGTACCCTCCGGTGTCATCAAACGTGGCAATGCGAAATCTCCTATAAATGATATAAACGGAGGTCTACATAATTGAAAAAACATCTATAATTGATTGGTAGATTCGCATGGATTCTCCATTGCCATGTCTGATTGCCAGAGGGGACACTACCCACAAAAAAGAAAAACTAATGTCTTCTTGATGATCTTCCCTCTAAAGATTCCATTCTTTGTCGGTTGAATCCAGACCCGAAAGGGTCCAGCAAGGCCTCCTCTGATCCTCTATATTTCAAGGGAAGCTGCTGCAAACCAACTCGGGTTATTCAAAACGCTGATTGGCTTCACCATGGTGAAAATACTTACCAATCATAAAAATAAGGTACTTAGGGATGGCTTCTTATTGGGTTTACCACATCATGTATGTGTATATATATATACTACATATAGACATATTCCATACCATTGACCATGAGTACCCACCCATTCTCTATCTCAAGTATTGCTGGTGATATCCACTACATACCTATATGGTTGTGGTTGCTGCTGGTACCCCCCATAATCCACCCTCAGTACAGTGAAAGTTTAACCTAGCAGTGAAGAGTCACACCATTTACACCAGCAACTCATCTACAAATGGTGCACTTTCCACCAAGATGGTGGTTTGCTGAAACATTAGTGTGTTCTTTAGTTTATTCATGTGAGCATTGTTTGAAACACTTTGTCAGCAATTTACACTGCTTGGCTAATAGGATTTCCCATCATCGATTGTGATATATTGCTGGTTGGTGGTGCAATGTGCCCATCTTCAAAAATCATGGAGTTCGTCAATGGGGTTGGGATGACATCCCATATATGAAATGGAAAATTCAATTCATGTTCCAAACCACCAACCAGGTTGGATATAGTAGTGTAAACTGTAAACCCACATAGTCAATCAACAGCGGTCTTGAACAGTAATTAGTCAAAATCTACCCTTTGATTTTGAGTGCGCAGTGAGCATGTTTTTTTCCCCTCACGGTTGACTCTTGGTGTTCCCCAATTTTGCACAAACTCACATGCCCCCAACTCTCGTTCATACCATTATTATGGCAATTTTAACAATCCCGAAAAAAACATAGGAAATCAACTTGAGAGGGGGGGGACGAAAGGTAGGGGGGAAAAGACAGGAGGGAGAGGCAAGAGAAGGTGCGACTGTTTGTAACGCAAGCACGCCGACGACGACTACTACTACTACTACGACTACTACTACTACTACTATGACGACTAGTACTAGTACTAGTACTAGTACTACTACTACTACTACTACTAGTACTACTAGTAATACTAGTACTACTACTACTACTACTACTACTACTACTATGAGGACTACTACTACTACTACTATGAGGTCTACTACTACTACTATGAGGACTACTACTACGACGACGACAACTACTACTACTACTACGACGACGACTACTTCTACTACTAATACGACGACGGGGGACGACTTACTTCTACTACTACGACTTTACTACTCTATGCGCCGACGACGGACGTTGACGACGACGACGACGACGACGACGACTTATACTACGTACGACTAGACTAGACGGGCTGCGACTTACGAGTTACGACGACGACGACGACGAACGTACGGCCGACGACGACGACGCACGACGAGGTACGAGGCCGAGGCCGGCGAAGACGACGAAGGCGGACTAATGACGGGAATACGATACGACTACTACCACCGACCACGAACCACGAACCAACAAATTAAAACTACCAATACACTACCCTTACCACTACACAATACCACTAACCACTTACCACTTACCACTCCCCACTACCAATACAATACCACGGTTACCACTAACCACTACACTACCACTACTCTACTACTCCTACTACTACGACTACTACTACTACTACTTACTAACTAATACCGCCCAGGAAGTGACACTTTACATTCAATTGGGAAGATTGAAACAAGGGTATTAGGGACATATGAAACTCCCACCCCTGTTTAAACTTTTAACATTGAATTGGGAGATTCAACAAGGGTTATTAGGGAAGATTAAACTTCCCACCCCCGTTTACTTTGCAGTCAATTCGGGACGATCAACAGGGTATTAGGAAATTAAACTCCCACCCCGGTTTAAACTTTACATTCAATTGCGAAGATCAACAAGCGGATTCATGACTTCGCGGAAATTGCGTTGAAGAGTTTGCCGATTTCTAACGTTAGATGTATAAGGTAGGCATTTTGGACAAGAATCGGTTGGAGAGAAACTTTTGGAGTTTGAAAAGCTCACCCAAGCAGCTGGAATGTTTGTGTGCTTGTTGTTGGTGAATCGTTATTCTTGTAGGTATACCGTGTTGTCAGCACGCGGACTCGTTGGACGGGCCTCCAGGAAGTCGACTGAGCTAGTTGTTGACGCTGTGGAGGCGCTTCCGCCACGACTACATAAAGTATCGTTTTTTGTTCTGTACAATGACGTTCCGAACTCCGAATACGTGGACCCGGTGGAGGGGCCTCCAAAGGGTCAACCAAGTGAGGGGTTGACTCTGTGGAGGCTCTCCCACCGGATCCACAGAAACTATTGTTTTTGGTTAGTTGTTGCCTTTGTGATTTCTAGCAAGTTTACATAAAGTCCAACCGGGTCCACGGAAACTAATGTTTTTGGTTAGTTGTTGACCTTGTGATTTCTACCAAGTATACATAAAATATCGTTTTTTGTTCTGTACAAGTACGTTCCGAACTCCGAATAGGTGGGCCCGGTGGAGGGGCCTCCAGAGGGTCAACCAAGTGAGGGGTTGACTCTGTGGAGGCTCTCCCACCGGGTCCACAGAAACTATTGTTTTTGGTTAGTTGTTGACTTTGTGATTTCTAGCAAGTTTACATAAAGTCCAACCGGGTCCACAGAAACTAATGTTTTTGGTTAGTTGTTGACCTTGTGATTTCTACTAAGTATACATAAAGTATCGTTTTTTGTTCTGTACAAGGACGTTCCGAACTCCGAATACGTGGACCCGGGTGGAGGGGCCTCCAGAGGGTCAAACAAGTTAGGGGTTGACTCTGTGGAGGTTCTCGCACTAACAAGGGTATTAGGGAATATTAAACTCCCACCCCGGTTAAACTTTACATTGAATTGGGAAGATCAACGAGCGTATTAGGGAATATTAAACTCCCACCCCCGTTAAACTTTGCATTCAATTGGGAAGATCAACAAATGTATTAAACTCCCACCCCCGTTAAACTCTACATTCAATTGCGAAGATCAACAAGGGTATTAGGGAATATTAAGCTCCCATCCCCGTTAAACTTTGCATTCAATTGGGAAGATCAACAAGGGTATTAGGGAATAGTAAACTCCCACCCCCGTTAAACTTTACAGTCAATTGGGATGTTGATGATGTTGATGATGTTGATGTTGTTGCTGATGATGCTGATGATGATGATGTTGATGAAATGAGGGAAAAAATCGTCATCCGTTTGCCCAAACGAACGACACGGGGAATCTCACAAAACATTGGCCCTGCGCAGTCAAAACACACTTTCCCGGGCAGCACATCCGTCCTGGCCGTAGTACTACTACTACTACTACTACTTCTTCTACTACTACTACTACTACGACGACTACTACTACTACGACGACGACTACGACTACGACTACTACTACTATCATTCGCATGGCACCTATCTCACTAGAATTTACCAAAGAACATAAAACATCATTTTTTCGGGGTTGCGCTTCATCTCGCCTCGATGAAGCACAACCAAGTGCTTGGGAGCACAACCAAAGTCATTTATCGCACAAAAATGAGCTTGGTTGCGCCCCCAAACGCTGGGTTGCGCTTCATCTCCCCTCGATGAAGCACAACCTTGGAAAAAGATATTTTTTTATCTTCTTTGGTAAATTTATGTCTTCCAGACCATAGATTATTTTGCCTGTCGAAAAACTTGAAAGAAATATATATGTATAGATAGACAGATCGATAGATAGATAGATAGAAGGATAGATAGGTAGGTGGGTAGGTAGATAGATAGATAGATAGATCAATATATAGATAGAGAGATAGATAGATAGATAAATAGATAGATATATTTATATATAGATAGATAGATAGATAGATCGATCGATAGATCGATAGATCGATAGATAGGTAGAAGGATGAATAGATAGATAGATAGATAGATAGATAGATAGATAGATAGATAGATAGATAGATAGATAGATAGATAGATAGATAGGTAGATAGATAGATAGATAGACAAATAGATAGATAGATAGATAGATAGATAGATAGATAGATAGATAGATAGATAGATAGATAGATAGATAGATAGATAGATAGATAGATAGATAGACAGATAGACAGATAGATTAGATAGATTAGATAGATAGATAGATAGATAGATAGATAGATAGATAGATAGATAGATAGATAGATAGATAGATAGATAGATAGATAGATAGATAGATAGATAGATGTGGTTGGCTAGGAAATCCCAAAGCTAAACGAGCAAAAATCGCCAAGTGGCCTACCCTTCAGTCAGTCTGTTTACTCCCCAGATAGATAGATAGTAGATAGATAGATAGATAGATAGATAGATAGATAGATAGATAGATAGATAGATAGATAGATAGATAGATAGATAGATAGATAGATAGATAGATAGAATAGATAGATAGATAGATTAGATAGAATAGATAGATTAGATAGAATAGATAGATTAGATAGAATAGATAGAATAGATAGAATAGATAGAATAGATAGATTAGATAGATAGTTAGATAGATAGATAGATAGTTCGGGGAACAATATAACACTATTGGCCTTCTGCTTTTTTATTCGCAGGTGCTGTGAGGCCAGGGGTTCAACATTGAATTTAAAAAACTCAATGGGCGCAATTGAAAATGAATGAAAAAAAAGGATCTCACAAACTCAGTTCGGTAAAAAATCTTGTCTTGGGAGGGGCTTTATTATTAACCTCCCAACATTACTCCGTGTGTGTGTGTGTTTAACATCTAAATAGATGTAAAACTTCTCTCTTTTTTCTTCCTTTGTCCTCTCCCTTTCTAACTCTAATTGCAATGCAGGGGGCCACCGGGGTCCCGGGGGGGTCGGTGGCCACCGAAGACACCCCCCGGGACCCGTGCAAACGTACCTGCATTGTTAATTTCAATTTTTCGGATCTAATCTGCATGTTTCAGGATTCAGTTCCTGCCGGATCATATAATGATCCATTCTTGTCTAATGTGATTTCCATGGTGGCTCCGACATGGTGCCATGGAGCCATTTGAGGCAACCCTTTTTAGGGTGAGTGATGACTGTCCTGACTTCCGAATTTACACATTTGAATCTAGTAATTCGTTTAAGTAATGTGCAACAGATGGCCTTACCGTTTTGTGCCTTTGATGAAGTCCCGCGGCTCCTGTGGTCCCAGGGATTCCTCGCCGACGCATTTCTTCATCTTTGAAGCTGTTCTGAACATTCAGAAACCTCCTTTTTTCGCAGCAACCTTTGCAGTTACATTACATGAGACAGAACGCAGGCAGGTACACGACTTTCAGGTGTGGTCTTCTTTCTTTTGATGGTTGTCTGGTGAGGTGAAACATATTGTGCATCTAATTCGATGGAACTTGAAAGCTGTTTTATGCCAATTGGGGCAAGACTTGACCACGGTCCCGGTGCAGGGAACAATCGCACGAACAGTAGGTCTAGGAACTGGGTCCTGTTTTTTAATTAATTGTTTTGGTTTTTGTCTGGCATCAACTAGTTCCCCATTGGTCCCTAATCTTTCCCCGCGTGCCTCTCCGTAACGTGTTGTTGGGTTTAGGTGTGTGCGCTGTTTTTGTCAGGTCCGTTTCGCCGTGTAGGTTGGTTCTGGAGGTCCGTCTGTTCCCCTCCCCCCCCTGCGCTGTTTTGGCCGTCTGCCCGTCGTGTGTCCGCTTTTTTCTTCCTCTTGCCTTTCAGGGTTGACCCGGCTCCGGCCGGGTGTGTGTGTGTAACATCTAAATAGATGTAAAACTTCTCTCTTTTTTCTTCCTTCGTCCTCTCCCTTTCTAACTCTAATTGCAATGCAGGGGGCCACCGGGGTCCCGGGGGGGTCGGTGGCCACCGAAGACACCCCCCCGGGACCCGTGTAAACGTACCTGCATTGTTAATTTCAATTTTTCGGATCTAATCTGCATGTTTCAGGATTCAGTTCCTGCCGGATCATATAATGATCCATTCTTGTCTAGTGTGTGCTTGTGATTGTTCCACTTTTCTTTTTTAGGTGGTGTACTTGCTGGTGTGGCTGATTGAACAGAGTAATTACTGGATTCATTGTCACACAACGAGGAAAATCAAGCCTTAAAAGCGTCCATCTTGCCTTTGTTGGTTTTTTAGGTGCTTGTTGAACCCTTATTGACCCTGTGCCATTCCATCTTGCGGCCATGTTGGGCCTATGCCAGGCTTATGCTGACGCTTTGTGGCATTTGTTGAAAGCTAATTGATCCCATGTCAGGCCATCTTCCCTCTATGTTGGCTCTATGCTGCGTTTATTTCATCTTCTAGGAAACAGATTCGGAAAAATTGCCTATTCCAAGAACACAGAAAGTACACATTTCTGGACCAAACATGAGCTCAATTTCGTCCATGTCGTCCACTTTTCAGACGCTTGTTGAGCCCCATGTCAGGTCATCTTGCAGGTTTGTTGTGCCATTGTCGCGCGTATGTTGCTTTTTGTTGGCTTTTGACTTGCTGGCCCCAAGTACGTCCATGTCAGCTATGTTGGGCCTACATATCTTGGAATCATCTTGCAAGGGCCTGGTCCAGGCCTGGGTGCCTGCCTGTTCTTATGCCCGCCGGGCGTAAGCGCAGGCGGGGCTTTGGCAGCGCAGGTTTGGCAGGGTAAAGGCTGTTTTTTCATCATTTTAGGCCCAAAACCTGTTCGATGAAGGGCCTGCCTGTTCTTATGCCCGGCGGGCATAAGCGCAGGCGGGTGAAAAGGAGACATTTCATCCACAGGGTTGTTTTGCCGTGGATTCCCATGAGAAAGGGAAATTTCATCCATGGAATGGAGCCAGTTTGCAATGAAATGGCCAATTTGAAATGAAATGGAGCCAGTCTGGGGTAACTGGGGGGTGTAAGCCAAGTACATAGACGACAGTCCATTTGGATGACTTAGTAAACCAGAGCTATGAAACATTATAAGTGGTATGACGTGTCCAGTGTTGCTTTCTTGCTTGGCTGTGACGAATTCAGAGCCAACAAATGCCCCACAGAATTACGACCGAGTTTGTGAGCGGAGTAGAAAAACTCGGTCGTATTTTTTTTTTCCTTCTACAATGCCCGAGAAAGGATTCTAGGTGTATGTTGCAGACCATGGGGCCAGTTGACTATGGCCACTAACCGGATAACTCCTTTGTATCCATGTATGTTTGTAAATATGTCTGTCTGTCTGTCTGTCTGTATGTATGTATGTATGTATGAATGAATGTAATGTTATGTAATGTGATGTAATGTTATGTCACATTAAGTCGTGTAATGTTATGTTATGTTACATCATGTATGTCTGTATGTATGTATGTATGTATGTATGTGATGTAATGTTTTTCACACTAAGTCATATAATGTTATGTTATGTTACATCATGTATGTCTGTATGTATGTATGTATGTATGTATGTATGTATGTATGTATGTATGTATGTATGTATGTATGTATGTATGTATGTATGTATGTATGTATGTATGTATGTATGTATGTATGTATGTATGTATGTATGTATGTATGTATGTATGTTGTATGTATGTTGTATGTATGTATGTATGTATGTATGTATGTATGTATGTATGTATGTATGTATGTATGTATGTATGTATGTATGTATGTATGTATGTATGTATGTATGTATGTATGTATGTATGTATGTATGTATGTATGTATGTATGCATGTATGTATGTATGTATGTATGATAGATATATAGATAGATAGATAGATAGATAAATAGATATATAGATATATATATATATAGATAGATGGATAGATAGATAGATAGAGAGATAGAAGGATATAGATAGATAGATAGATAGATAGATAGATAAATAAACAAATAGATGGATAGATAGATAGATAGACAGATAGAAGCATCGATCGATAAATAGATAGATCGATAGCTAAATAGATCGATAAAAAGATAGATAGATAGATAGATAGATAGATCGATAGGTAGATAGATAGATACATAGAAGGATAGATTGATAAATAGATACATAGATAGACAACTAAATAGATAGATACATGGATAGATAAATGGATAAGGAGGTAAGTACATAGTCAGAGAAAAAGAAAGAAAGAGATGCGGACCAGGGGGGAATCGAATGGGGGGGGGCCCCCCCCCCCTAAGTCTCCGTTCGTGACTCTCGGCTCTCAATTTCCGGGAAAGGACCACCCACCTCCCCCAGTACTAAACTAGTACTGGCTTTTGACTTGCTGGCCCCAAGTACGTCCATGTCAGCTATGTTGGGCCTACATATCTTGGAATCATCTTGCAAGGGCCTGGTCCAGGCCTGGGTGCCTGCCTGTTCTTATGCCCGCCGGGCGTAAGCGCAGGCGGGGCTTTGGCAGCGCAGGTTTGGCAGGGTAAAGGCTGTTTTTTCATCATTTTAGGCCCAAAACCTGTTCGATGAAGGGCCTGCCTGTTCTTATGCCCGGCGGGCATAAGCGCAGGCGGGTGAAAAGGAGACATTTCATCCACAGGGTTGTTTTGCCGTGGATTCCCATGAGAAAGGGAAATTTCATCCATGGAATGGAGCCAGTTTGCAATGAAATGGCCAATTTGAAATGAAATGGAGCCAGTCTGGGGTAACTGGGGGTGTAAGCCAAGTACATAGACGACAGTCCATTTGGATGACTTAGTAAACCAGAGCTATGAAACATTATAAGTGGTATGACGTGTCCAGTGTTGCTTTCTTGCTTGGCTGTGACGAATTCAGAGCCAACAAATGCCCCACAGAATTACGACCGAGTTTGTGAGCGGAGTAGAAAAACTCGGTCGTATTTTTTTTCCTTCTACAATGCCCGAGAAAGGATTCTAGGTGTATGTTGCAGACCATGGGGCCAGTTGACTATGGCCACTAACCAGATAACTCCTTTGTATCCATGTATGTTTGTAAATATGTCTGTCTGTCTGTCTGTCTGTCTGTCTGTATGTATGTATGTATGTATGTATGTATGAATGTAATGTTATGTATGAATGTAATGTTATGTAATGTGATGTAATGTTATGTCACATTAAGTCGTGTAATGTTATGTTATGTTACATCATGTATGTCTGTATGTATGTATGTATGTATGTATGTGATGTAATGTTTTTCACACTAAGTCATATAATGTTATGTTATGTTACATCATGTATGTCTGTATGTATGTATGTATGTGTGTATGTGTGTATGTATGTATGTATGTATGTATGTATGTATGTATGTATGTATGTATGTATGTATGTATGTATGTATGTTGTATGTATGTATGTATGTATGTATGTATGTCTGTGTGTGTGTATGTATGTATGTATGTATGTATGTATGTATGTATGTATGTATGTATGTATGTATGTATGTATGTATGTATGTATGTAGTATGTATGTATGTATGTATGTATGTATGTATGTATGTATGTATGTATGTATGTATGTATGTATGTATGTATGTATGTATGTATGTATGTATGTGCGTATGTCTGTGTGTATGTATGCATGTATGTATGTATGTATGTATGATAGATATATAGATAGAGAGATAGATAGATAGATAAATAGATATATAGATATATATATATATAGATAGATGGATAGATAGATAGATAGAGAGATAGACGGATATAGATAGATAGATAGATAGATAGATAAATAAACAAATAGATGGATAGATAGATAGACAGATAGAAGCATCGATCGATAAATAGATAGATCGATAGCTAAATAGATCGATAAAAAGATAGATAGATAGATAGATCGGTAGGTAGATAGGGGGATACATAGAAGGATAGATAGATAAATAGATACATAGATAGACAACTAAATAGATAGATACATGGATAGATAGATGGATAAGGAGGTAAGTACATAGTCAGAGAAAAAGAAAGAAAGGATGCGGACCAGGGGGGAATCGAATGGGGGGGGGGCCCCCCCCCCCTAAGGCCTAATGCGTTCAACAAATAATGTAGGTAGCCTAGGCTAATCTGCAGGTGAACGGACCAATAATGAATTCCCTTGCGTTCGTGAAATGAATGTATGAATTTGACACATTTATGAGATTGCTCTGAGAGGAACTTCACGACTGAGGCTGAACCATCCAACATCCTGATACATTCATATTATACATTCTATGCCAACAAGTAGAAAAGTATGGCTTCATTATGGCAACGGCCTGAGGTCTCCAATGAAACTTAGGAAAGCCAGGCATCTGAGAAGGTGCGATAGACCTGGTCGGTGTCGGCCTTCTTGACCTTTGCAAGAGCCTTGAAGATCGCATCAAATCCATCCTTCGAAAAAAGGAGGTCCTGGATGGGTCGCAGTCTCCAACATGTTGGTAAAGGGGGGGGTGCCATGAGGTGGCATGCGTTGATGTCCTTCGTGGTATCAATGAGAAGAGATCATCGAAACAGAAAATGAGAAACCCCCTCCCCCTTTTTTGGTCCAGCACTTTCTTCTCCGTGCTGCTCATCAGCATCTTCAAGGTTCCATTCCTGAGCCGCAGTTGGACTCAGTTGGACTGAATTCTTGTGCTATTCAGTGACTACAGAAGCTAGGCACAATCCTTGCCAGTTAGTCCCTCCATCTATCAGACTAAGCACTTCAGAAGTCGGAAACGGACTTCCAACTTTGTTTATGCTGTCATCCATTCAAAATGTTGGGCTTCCCAATATCGGCACCAAACGAATCCAAGGCTCAATTCATCGGAGGTTTTGGCAGTGCCGAGACTCTTTTGATATGCTTGAGCATCCTGGACCGCTTGGCAATAGCCACCGTGTCTGCAGATCATGCCGTGGTGCATACTATACCCTCCCACCCTATCCGAGACCCGTCACTGGCTCCTTCAGGGGGTCTGCTGAAGCTCCAGCAGCTGGTTTGGGCATAGAGCCCAGTAAGTTCGCCATCATATCAAGAATTTCCTTCAGTTTTTCCTTCAATTCCTGACAGCTGCGCCCAGAGATTCTTCACTCAGCAGAGGATGAAAATTGTTTTGGAAACTTCCTCTGCAGCGTGTGATTCTGATGAGATTAAAGTTTGTCTCCGGCACACGCGAAAAGCCAGATGACCAGTGGCCAAGACACTCATCGAAAGTCCAATTAGTGAAGCGAAATTCTCATCCGGTCATCCAGTTTCGGGATCTATCAAAACAAAGACTGATACAACAAATGGGTGTGTTTTAGACTGGGGTATATCCCCCTCAAAATGAAAATCATGACGAAATTGATATACAATTGATTTAGGCGTACCATATTGTCAGCCAAACTCATAAATGGTAGTTTACCCACAACAAACAAACCATCATCCCAGAAGCCAGGCCAGCCCGGCCTGCTCCTTGGGCTTAGGCTTCAGGGCCTCCAGCGCATCTTTCAGCTCCATTACCAGGGTGGGCACAGCAATCTCCTTCTGCGCATTGGGAAAGTCCTTGGGGTTGATCTGCAGATGGGTACCTTGGAGAAATCCACTGGAAGAGATGGGATGACCGCTACAAGGAGAAGGCCTCTGACAACCTCCGTTCATCCCTGCACTAGCACAGTGAATTGCCTGCTTCAAAATTTGCAGAATCTGACCTAACAAACATCGCAAACCATTCAGAGCCCACGTCGATGTCTGTGCAACTGAGGCGCAGAAAATGAATGCAGCCTGGTGATTCAAGCATCTAAGAAACCCTCGAAGATCAGTGCACAGTGCATAGAGATGTTCTAGGAGCGATCCATGGTGCTACATAGAAGTCTGTTCGACAACAAGTCCATCGCTGGAAGCGGGAACCCAGCCTGTTTTATACCACATCAATTTCACATTCTCAGAGGTCCACATCCACGGTTTGTCTGAAAATTATGGGGAAAAAGAAACGGCTGTTTATCATCGTTAATCACTCCATGACCCCCCGCACCTGGAAAAGACTGCTCAAATAAGCCAAGCGGTTCCTCAACCTGAGGCAATCTTTCCCTGCAAATGGGTCTGGAAATGCACCCAAAAATCGTCATTTCAAAAGAGGAAAATGGTGATAACATATGATAACCATTGATGAACCCTAGTGTGTTTGGGGGTGTTCCCATGATTTTCAAACCCCAAATCATCCTAAGGTTCTTCCTGTTCGGCTGCCAAGTACCTCGTAGAGGTGGTCGTATCTCCGGGTTTGTACTTCGACAGCTGGGCCTGGCTCAGTCCACCAAACATCCACTAGCCATCAATTGCCCCACCAACCTCAACCGACGTGGATCATCAATCAACCAACTTCCATATCCCATCCCAAAATCAAAAATTAAATGACCATTATTGGACTAATGATGTTCCTAAACAATACTGGTTGGTTTTTCATGGTTTTCCATCCAAGATCAACCCTTAAAATCGGCAACCCAACCACCCACCATCACCCCTCCAATTCCTCGACTCAAGCACAATAAGCAATCATAATCATAACATATCATACGTTCCCATCTCTGGTCTAGGCCTTAAAATGTGCCCATTGACACGGCTGACACGCTTGACACGCTTGACACGCTTGACACATACCCATTGGATCCATTGGATCCCGGATGCCCCCGGATGGCTCCTTGACGAACTTGGCAAAGTCCACTGTCATCTTCAGCACCGCCGTGGCCTCCTCGTCCGGCATCTCGTTGAGCTGCACGAAGGTCGAGCCAAAAACCACCTCCATGGCGTCCTCAAAAACGAGGCCATGGGGGGACGAGGCCAACCCCAACGGGATGGCATCCGAGATGTGAAAAGCTGTGGAAAATGGTGAAGATCTTCATGTTTGTGTAAAAAATTGTGAAAAGTAGGAGGAATTATGGACTTGGAAGATGGAAGATGATCTGAAACTAACTGGAATCGATAAAATCTCAGAAAATGAGGAAAGAATGTAGTGAAAGAAGGTGCTTAATTTCAATTTCACCCTTCTGCAGCTTTGCCAAATTTGGCAACTCTCCAAACCCCCCCGGATTGTCGCGTTGGCTTGCTATACCGAGACTCGTTGATGATGTCCACTTTCTCGTTCTGCATCAATTCCTGGGATGCACTTGCAATCTTTAGGAGAACTGACATGAACTGGCAGGCATTGTCCATGATCTAGTCAGTGAACAATGTACTTAGATGTACTTAGCTCTTCCTTGAACAAAATCTGTGAAGTACTGTGCTGCATGTGTGTGGGATGCAGAATTTCAGACTCCCAAGGCCAGAGATGTTCCGTTCATACCCAAGGCTCTGTGAGGACGGGATACACTTCCATGTTTCCAGAAAACTTCAGAGGCACGAACTGAACGGAACACCTCGGTGGGAACTCCATGTCTTTCCGGGCCACTGAACTCGTGTGGGAAATAGCATCGCCATATCTGGGAAATCATGTTTCGAAAGAAACGACTGTAATTCTTGGGTAGCTTTGATTTCACGAGCTTATCCACATAGCCTGATCCTGGTGACACCAAGGCGCAGAGTCTCCATATGCTCCGCCCCAGGCTTTGCAAGTGCCTGGCTTACCTTCTTCAGCACCTGCGTCCCAGCCACAAAACATGTCTGGCATCGTGGCCAGCCTTAGATCCCCTGCATGATTAGTTGGGTAGATTATATTCCCATGTGTAACCAAACGTATGCCAAGACTGCTAAGACGGCAAAGAGTCCTTAAACATCATCAACTATTATGATACCCTTCAGAATACATACTACTGTCGAATAATATGTCAGTTATTATCATTCAATATGTTATCTACTATCACTATAGTTGGGAAACATATCAAACTACTATCATCAGCTACTCATCATATCCTCTCAGTAGCTCCTTAATGCCCCCATGTTCTGCACCTTCGGCAAGTCGGGATGTTCCACTTCCTGCGCGAAATGGACAGCCAAACTGAAAACCCGGAGATATGGGCGTGTCGAAACATGGGATACACTGTTTTTAATACCTTTTAAAAGAAAATGGGAGCACCCAATGGATTTAGGGGTACACAATTTTCAGACAAACCCATATTCCATCTTAACCACGTGTTTCTGATGACTTCTATTTAAAAACAACATGATGTAACATCATATAACTGGAGTTTGCCTTGTAGTAGATTGGGTTTCGGGCTGTTTCGGGGGGTCAACTTAACAGTAGTAAGGCCCATCGATCAGAGCAAGCACTGAAACTTCCGGGGCACTGGGATCTTCCTTGTAACTGAGAATTCACCTGTGGAAGTGCGACTTCGCCGTTGTCCCTCATCTGAAGCAATTTGTTTGACCGTCAACCACCATCAAGCAACTAATTAGTCATTGGCATCCAAGGGCACCTCAAATTTGCTGAAGCGTAGAGCTTTGGCCGTGACCTCCAGAACGGCCTTGTCACGCCCAGCAATGCAGGCGTCCAACCAGATAGTGAACCTAGGATTGCGAGGTCAGAAATCATTGAACCAGGACAGGAGTCAGTATGATTATTACTACCACTGTGACTACTACATTGTTGCTATTCTCAATTACTTCTACCAGTAGTGCCGCACAAGGCGGTGGCGGAAGTTTCAAAAATAGGAAACCTATAGGGAGAGGTTGGTTGCTGTGAATCACGGATGGCAGAGCGAATCCACTGATGGACTGAAAGGTGGTTGGAGTTGTGTTTTTTGGAGTGGTTACAATGGTTGCAGTGGTCACCTGGTCGGTCACTTCACCTAAACTGCTGGATGTAGCGTGGTGTAGCGCAGCTGTAGTTGTAGTTGTAGTTGCAGTGTAGTGGAGTTGTAGCTGTGGTGTAGTGTAAGCGTAGTGTAGTTGCAGTTGCACTTGTGGTGGTGTAGTGAGTGTAGCGTAGTGTAATCTAGTGTAGTGTAGTGTAGCGTAGTTGTAGTTGTAGCTGTAGTTGTAGTTAGTGTAGTGTGGTGCAGTGTGGTGTAGTGTGGTGTAGTGTAGTGTGTGTAGCGTAGCGTAGCGTAGCGTAGTGTAGTGTAGTGTAGTGTAGCATAGTGTAGAGGTAGTTGTAGTTGTACTTGTAGTTGTAGCTGTAGTTAATGTAGTGTAGCGTAGCGTAGCGCAGCGTAGCGCAGCGTAGCGCAGCGTAGTGTATTGCAGTGTAGTGTAGTGAAATTTAGTGTAGTGTAGTGGAGTGCAGTGTAGTGGAGTGTAGTGGAGTGTAGTGTAATGTAGTGTAGTCGTAGTTGTAGTTGTAGTTGTAGTTGTAGTTGTAGTTGTAGTTGTAGTTGTAGTGTAGCGTTTAGTGCAGTGTATTGTAATTAGTGTAGTGTAGTGCAACGTAGTGTAGTTGTAGTTGTAGTTGTAGTTGTAGTGTAATGTAATTTAATGTCATGTAATGTAATGTCATGTAATGTAATGTAATGTCATGTAATGTAATGTCATGTAGCGTAGTGTAATTGAGTGTAGTGAAGTGGAGTGTAGTGTGGTGTAATTAGTGTAGTGTAGTGTAGTGTAAGTGTAAGTGTAAGTGTAAGTGCAAGTGCAAGTGCAAGTGCAAGTGCAAGTGCAAGTGCAAGTGCAAGTGCAAGTGCAAGTGCAAGTGCAAGTGCAAGTGCAAGTGCAAGTGTAAGTGTAAGTGTAAGTGTATGTGTAAGTGTAAGTGTAGTGTAGTGTAATGTAGTGGTAGTTGTAGTTGTAGTTGTATTTGTAGTTGTAGTTGTAGTTGTAGTGTATTGTAATGTAGTGGAGTGTCGTGTCGTGTCGTGTAGTGGTGGTTGTAGCTGAAACTGCTAGAAAACCCTCCGGTTTTGCTCACTTTTGACAAGGGTCACAATCCCTTGCGCCTGCCACAGGAAACGACATCTGAACGTCCAAAAGTGGTCCAAACATGTGGTGTTTTGAACGTTTTGACTTGGAAATGTGCTTCGCGCCACAACGGCATGCACTTTTTCGACATGTCAACTTCAAAAAGTGCTCCGAACCTGTTGTGCTTTGTACATTTTGACTTGGAAATATGCTTTGCGCCATAACGGCGTACACTTTTTCGACATCTCAACTTCGAAAAGTGCTCCGAACCTGGTGTGTTTTGTGCATTTTGACTTGGAAATGTGCTTCGCGCCACAACGGCGTGCACTTTTCGACATCTCAACTTCTGAAAGCGCTCCGAAGCTTTGACTTGGAAATTTGCGTTGCGCCACAACAGCGTGCAATTTTTCATCTCTCATCTGGCACCCGCCGCTTTAGCGAGCCTGCTTTTCGACCCTGTGGAGCCACAAATCATTGGAAAAACGCATCTTCTTTCTTCTCACTCTTTCTCTTCTCTGATCTCTCTTCTGCTCTTCTCCTCTCTGACTCTTCCCACCTCTGCTTTTCCATCTGTCTATATTGTCGGAAGTTTGACTTCTAAACTTCCTTCGACTAGTATATTACTTATTAGTCGTATGATTGGCATTATCATTGTTCTCACTAATTATTAAGTGATGGATGTCAAAAACCTAATTAATGAAAATTTTGAATACTCTCGTTTGGATCGTACAATTCTGATGCGGGACGGCTTCGTGGAAATTGATATGGTTTTAAGTGGGTTATCGTTCGTGTCCGATGTTGGGTTTAAGCAAAAGGATCTTGAGATTCAGAAATAGGTGCGGAACATCTGGAAATGCGATGGAAATATTCAGCATCTTCGGAAGAGTGGCGGCATTGGGGCATACTTATTTCAGAGTTGTGTGCTGCTGCTTGTCAATGTTTCTAGTATCTGTCTTGGAAAGGGCTTTGCACCCTTGCGTTGCACTTGCACTTTGAAGCTCCTTAGGGGCTGTGGATGGGCTATGGCTGCTGCGTGCTCATGGGGTGGGCGCATCTCACTGACAGTATGTTTTTTTGTATGTGTTTGCTCTTCGGTGCTGTGGCCAAACTGTGGGAAACATCTCACAAGCAGTTTGGTTTTACACTTTTTTCACAAGCTCGATTGAAGGTGGAAAGCATCTCGCAGGCACTTTGTTCTTGCACCTGCTTGTGGAAATTACAGCGTAAAAAACATTTCAGGATTACTCAATGTGTCTTTCACATAAGCGCATCACAGCCACGTTCTGTGTGGAATGTCCAGTCACAACATTCATCTTGAAACCGGGCTCTGCTTTGCCTAGTCCTAGAATTGGATTTTTGGTTATCGTTCCGTTAGCGTTCAGGTTGTCGTTCGGGGCCACGGCCAAGAAACAGAAAGTGCACGTGCTACCGCATAAAAGAAAAGCCTTTCCTTGCTGTGTATGGCTGGCTCCATATGACTACAGGCTAGCCAGGAATGATTTCCACAATGGCGGTTTTGCTGAGAGCGCAAAAATGTTTAAGCCATGCAGAACACTATGCAAAATGACCATCAGGACAGCACTGGATGGAGAGATTTTGGATATCGGTCTTTGCGAAGGGTCAGCTACATGATATCAGAAAGGATATCTTAAGTAAAAGGTTTTGGTTATCGGTCAATGCGCGAGGTCAAAAAAAAGATAGCTAATTATAAGGTTTCTAGCATTGTTCACTGCGCAGGGCCAATCAAAATTGAAAAAGCAAGCACTTCAACAGCCGCAGTTAGGTGCAGGACAGCTTCTTGAGACGAATACTAAAATAGTGGTGGGGACAGCAACGTCTCAAAACCCTGCAAAAACGCAAATCTGGGTTTTTGACGGAACTCAAGTGTTAACTATTACTATTGTTATTGTTACTGAAGACACGAGATCATCCATGATGATGTCAGCACCAAAGCCAGGCTCCCAGGCATCTCCATGAATTGGTCCGGCTCGAACCAGGGCTCATTGTCCCAGGCTGCGTCTGCGATCTCCTCTCCGACTTCCTTGATCTTCTTGTCATCCTGTCGCTGGGACACCCTGATTCCACACTATGTATGCATATATGTAGGTGGTGCAGGATTTCTTCCACCCACATATACATATACTGTCTATATATTATATATATATACATATTATATAATATATATACATATTATATAATATATATATATATATGTATATATATATATTATTACATATATATATATGTATTATATATACATATATGTATTATATATATATTTATATTATATATATAATATATGTATTATATATATATGCTCCCCCCCCCGCCCCAAAGATCTACCATTTTCAGCTTTTTGTTGATGCAAAAACAAAGTAGGTACACTATTACTTTCAAAAAAGATGAGCACATACTCAGGTCAGAAAGCACAACATTTCTTGAAGGAAGCTATCTGTTTTAAATTGCAGCGTTCCTTTCCATGCTTTAAAAAAAGGCAACTTCATTCAAAAAACTACAGTTTTCCTTCCAGACAAAGTATGGCTTCGTTCAAGAAACAGTACCCCTACAAAATATAGAGTATTCCTCTAAACATGCAGTGTGTTCTTTCTGAAGAAGTGCAGTCTTCCTTTCAAACTAATATTAAGTTTTCCTTCAATCATACAGTATTTCTTTCAAAACACCAGGTTCCAAAATTTTGGATGTGTCTGTGTTTTTTGATGCAACAGAGTAAGAATAATATCTTGATCTGCAATTTTTAATCTACAGTGAATATAGCTTCATTATAGATTCCATATACTTTAATATACCAGTGAATTGACCATAAAGATATCTTTAATACACCTTTAGTAAACCTTTGGCATACCTTCCTTTTAAATACCATCTTTAAAAAAAAAAAAAACTTTAATATACCATTGAATATACCTGTAGCATTCCACTGGATTACGATGAAGCTACTTTAATATACGTACAATCTAATTGGCCTTGAAAATACCTTTAGTATACTTTAAATATACCTTCAATGCATAAAACTTCACTATACCATTTAATCTACCTTAGATATACCATGTTATTGGCCATGAAAACATCTTTAATACACCTTTAGGATACCTCTCTACCTCTAGCATACCTTGTATTTTCCATCTGATTTATCTTTAATAAACCTTTAATGTACCATCTATACTTAGCTTACCATTTAAGAATCGTTAATATTCCAGTTGATATACTGGTACCATTAACTAATACTATTAAAAATGTCGTTTACTACACCTTTAGTATACCTTGAAGGTATATACCTTCCATATGCCATTTAATGGACCTTGAAAATACCACTATGCCTCTAAAATACCGCTTGCTTACCATTTAGTTTGCCTTTAATAAACGTGTAATAAACAATCTATACTTAGTTTGCCATGCTAGAATCATTAATATTCCATTTGATATACCATTACTATATGATTTAATATGGTTTTAGCATACCATTTTATATACCATCAATCTACCTCTAATACACCTTTAGTATACCATCTAATCCACCTCTAATATACCATTTAATATACCTGTAGTATACCTGTAATATTCCAGTCTGGCCATGAATCTATATAATTTATATATATATCTGTAGTATATCTTTAAAATACCTTGTGTTTTCATTAAAAATGTCGCTTACTACACCGTTAATATTCCTTGATGGTATATACTGTATTATATAGCTTTAATATACCATTTAAATGACCTTGAACATACCACTATACCTCTAACATACCTTTTATTTAGCCAAGGCCTGGATTCAAGAAGTTTCCCCAGGAATCTTGAATCTTGAATCCAGGAAACTTTGCAAAGTTTTGGGAAGTGCATACGCCTGTGTATATGTATACATGTTTATTTAAATCTATCTATCTATCTATCTATCTATATATATATGGTACCCCCTTTTAATTAATTGCTCGGGTATCATCCCAAACCACAAGATTTCAAAAAGGTAGGTCAAAAATGGTAGATCTTTGGGGGGGTACCATATATATATATGTATTATATATATATGTATTATATACATACATGCATATATATATATATATACAGAGAGAGAGATAGATTTAATATATGTTAGATATAGATATGCATGGTAGCTCTATATATAGAATTATATATATATATGTAAATATATGTAAATATAATTGCAATGTCAGAATTTCGGGGATCAAGTCATTGGAGTGTCCCAATAAAGTCGCATCGCTACCCGGCCTTGGTCTTCAAGAGTCGCAGGAGGGCCAGAACCCTTTCTTCCAGTTCCTGGAAAAATCATGAAAAAACCTAGCTATTTGTGCACTTTCTGATAGATTGATAGGATCTTGATGGATTTTTGATGGATTTTTAGCATCAAACATCTGGGGATAGAGAAATGGGCGATTCTCCCAAATTCTCCCAGAGCTGTTTAAGCGACATGTCCGACATGCTGCAACTGCCACAGCAGTCGCAGCTCCTCTGAATCGGTCATTGCCTCGAGGGTTTCTACAATCCAACTGCTTGAGCCACAATGCCTCCCTAAACAGATGGCCTCTCAAGTCTCAAGTCATCCAAAACGACGTGGGCCTTTGGTGCATCCAATGCCCCATGTAGCAAAAAATCTTCGAACCTGTCCTAGGTGTCCATTTAGATGGATCACTTTAAGGAAACATTCAACAAGGGCATGCTGGCAGAACATCATCGCCTTAACTGAGCAAAATGCTTCAGCGACACACCAAGGTCTCAACATTTGCCTGTGCACCCAAGAGAATCACAGAACTCAGGAGATAAAGCAATCCAAACTTCAGAAATTGATTTGGTTTGTCATATTTTCCTGGCGGAGTATCCCTAAGAAATCAAAACATCCTGGGGCTCCCTACACTTGACCCCCAGCCTGCTCCCGGATTTCCTCAGCAAGATCTGAGCGACCAGGAGATGAGACATTTCTGCTCAGCGGGGGGGTGCAGTAGACGTCTTCTGCAAATGTATCTTCAATACCATACAGTATCTGTGTGAGTGGGTACCATGTATGTATAACACTATATCTCTAACTCTAGATCTTTAACATTATATCTTTAGCACTAGATCTAAGATTGCATATTTATAAGTGGTGTCATTATCCCTTTCATCATTAAGAACATTAAGATATTATATTTTGATCATTAATCGCTATGTCTGTATGGTGCTTCATCCTCAAAAATCATAAGTCCATCACCACCTCCCATCCCTGCCTTCATGGTGGCACCGCTGGGGCCAATCAAATGTCCCACCTGGGGCGGGCAACCCCTCTGGTGATTTCACACTGGAAAATCCGACATGTTAACCATGGGAAAATCTGTGAAAAATTATGGACTCGAATTGTGGCGGTCAACCTACCGGAGGGTAGATCTTCCAGAAACACGAGATGACGAGGTGTAGAGACGTCCTGTCCTAGATCGATTCTCGAGAATTCCATGACGTGCTCCCAAGTCGAGGCTCCCAACGATGTCACCGGGAACAATGACCTCGTTCTCATTCGGCTCAAGTGGCGGAGGCCTGTCCGCGCGGCCAGACGTACGCTGCGACGTCCTTGTTGGGGATTGGGGCCCAAACTCATCTTTTAGTGGTGTAAGAAGCTCAAGCCACAATATAGATATGTATATATATATAGTACTATATATATACATATGTACTCTAGATATATCCTGATAAATTTGGATGCAAAGCAACAATTAGATGATGCCTATCATCCTGAAATGATTCGATGAAACACCATCCAATAAGCGTTTCATTTGGGGTGGTCTGAAAATTTAATATCCCGATATCCACCCAAATTATGCCATATCCATCCATATCCTATTGTTCGCCATCATGTTCCCCATTGAAACTGCCATAAGATGATGTAAACCCAATGAGTTCTCATTTTTTCATATGTGTTCCATGCAAATTGTCCCTCATCCCATGGTCCCATGGTCACCCTTGGCCGCCACGCATTCCGCCCACACCGGGCATCCCGGGCATGCCATCTGGCGGTGGTGGAACCTGTCGCAGTCTCCGACAAAATGCAATGCTTGGCATATCAATCTCCCAACACAGACATGGGTCACAGCAAGTCACAAAAAAATAATGATAATAGTGATAGTAATAAACAATGATGATAATAATAATAATAATACAAATTGGGTTCTTCACTAATACAACCCGCCGGACCGGAAACCGTGCTCCTGAAAATAGAGTTTCACAAAAAAATGTGGGTTTTGCCACAGCGAGGCAACAATTGTTGTCACTCGAAAAGTGCGAAATTTTGGACGTCCAAATTTGGGCGTTTTTTGGGCAAACTGTGTTTTCGCTACAGTAAAACGTGATTTTACAGGCAACGTAGCATTCATCCACATAGTTACAAGTTCTTAGAGACGTAGGCAACGTAGCATTCATCGACGTAAGTGAAAGGACGTTATTGCTGCCCCACCCCACCCCACCCACCCCACCCCATCAAAAACGTTGATTTTACGAGCACGGTTTTCGGTCCGCTGGCTAATACAACTCACCCCAAATGATTTGGCTTCTTCCGTTCCCTCGCCGTTGCCGTTCGCCTGTGGCTTTGGAACCAAGGGGCAGCCCTTGGTGGCCAAGGCCTCCTTGATCATCACCTCCGTCCTGCTGATCTGGCAAAATGGGATCAGTGGTTTTCCCATGCAAAAACATAATGATCCCATGGTTTTAACAATGGAAATGGGGAAACCAATTACTGGATGATTGGTTTCCCCAACTTTGGATGATTTTGGAGTCCCCGATTTTTCAACAAGCCTCAACTCCACTACGTAGGGGAACCGCAATTCCGATCTGAGACCCCGAACTTATCCACATCCCCCACGATGGTGACATTGCCCTCGGGATCCTCGCCAGGGAGCAAAAGATGCAAATTTTGAAGCCGGAAACAAGCTGAAAATCAAATTGCAAGTGTGATCTCAATCTGGTTCCAAGGTTTTTTGTCTCCGAACCAGCTCTGATTCTATCCTCTGAAACCACCTGCAACGATTCGAGCGTTCCCAACAGCTCCCATACGTGCCATAGTCGGATACGGTCATCCATTATTATATAAGGATTTCTCGTGTATAACGGATATTACCTTAATATACCTTAATATTAATCCCTTTTGTATTCATGGATTCATGGACCACCCGTGGAAAAACGGTACCCCGGGTCCGACGGCAAGTGGTCGATCTTGATGTCTGCACCGCTGCGCAACCTGATATCCTGGCAGGGGCCCTGGCCAGGAAGGGGTCCTCGAGTTGTGTTTTGTCGGTTGATAATAAACCATTTAAATATGGGATATATATATATACTGTATTATGTGTATATTATATCAATTTATATCATATATATATTATATATATATACATCCGTTACATCTTATATCCCATACAAAGCCCAGCTAACCTACAGTAATTATAAACCAACTTCCTAATCTAAGGGGGCCTTTCCTGTGCAGGTATAAAACATATGATGGACTGGGTGTTAATGTTAACCATATATGGGACCCTTGGATGGGTATGGCAAAAGACTGGCATAGGAACATCACGATTTAGTTCTCACACTCTGAGATATTTTCGTGATCTTAAGTCAGCCAACATTCCTAGAGTTGCGGGCGGTGAGGTTGCATGCACTGGGCGCCTCTTGCGAATTTTGAAAGCAACAGATTCATACAGATTCAACAGATTCAACAGATAGATTGCATGATTTACTCTGAATTACTTTGAAGCATTGCATAGCCAAAAGGCCGAAGCTATGAGAAACCTATCAAGATCAGTTGAAAGCACCGAGCTCTGAAGAACACAGAGCTGAACCTCCCCATCTTCGGTCTCCTTGATGGTTTCACCACCCTTGCCGATGAGCGCGCGGATTTGCACGCCCTCCATTCGGATGATCTTGAAGCGCGCCGGGTCGATACCTACGACAAAACCCCACCTTTCATGCTAAGTACCCAGCTGATCATGATTGTACTGGACATAGTACATGATGATATATATATATATATGTATATATATATGCATGGATGTATCTATGTCTGTATGTATGTTTGTATGTCTGTATGTCTGTATGTCTGTCTGTTATGTCTGTATGTCTGTATGTCTGTCTGTCTGTATGTATGTCTGTCTGTCTGTATGTCTGTCTGTCTGTATGTATGTCTGTCTGTCTGTCTGTATGTCTGTCTGTCTGTGTGTATGTATGTCTGTCTGTATGTATGCATGTATGTATGTACGTACGTAGGTATGTATGTCTGTCTGTCTGTATGTAGGTCTGTCTGTATGTATGTATGTCTGTATGTATGTATGTCTGTATGTCTGTCTGTCCGTATGTCTGTCTGTCTGTCTGTCTGTCTGTCTGTATGTAGGTCTGTCTGTATGTATGTATGTCTGTATGTATGTATGTATGTATGTCTGTCTGTCTGTCTGTCTGTCTGTATGTATGTATGTATGATTTGATGATATAATATCATATTTACTTGTGTATATTATATGCGCATCAGGCTCGAGGCTGGAGGTTGCCTCCGAGGGACCTTCCTTCACCCTGCCTGGAGGTGTAGGTCGACCATCTTCCTTGAGGTCCTTGGAGCATCACCAGGTAGATATGTGTTTATAGTTTATAGTTGTATATTTTGGTATAGAATGATATAGGTATATGATGGTATATGTGGATGATACACGCTACGGGGATATTTGAGGACCCAAAATATGGATAAACCACAAGAACCAAATATACCAATTGTTTCATGGCGCATGTCACTATCCATTGTGGTGCATATCTGGACCATGAACAACCATCCGCTTCGGCTATGAAGGACTTCTGGTTGACAGTTCGAAGTCCCAAGCTTTCCGGCTCGTATTTGTACAGAAAGTAG